TAAGATGACCTCAAGTTTACTGCAGGCTTACACGGTAACCTTACAAACTCTACAGATATCGTTACAGTAACCTCCCAGCAAGAAGTCGTGCTATGTGGGTTACATCATGCTGGGTCTCTCAGAGACCCACTTACATTTTTCTAGTTTTAAAATTTACAAATTGATCAAATTGACTTGAAACTAGTTACTCGGAGGTCTTAGGGGTCTCGCTGATTACGAATCCGATGTTATTTTTTCAAAATTCAAAATGGCCGTTCCAATATGTCGGACAAATTTTGAGAAATTTATCGGATACGTTTAAAACTCGTTATACTTCGAAGGTTTTTGCGGTATCAGGAATGAAAAAAATTGAAAATCTTTGCTTCGACTATCAATTTGGTTTGTAAGTGTTTGTCATTGCGAAATGAAAAATATTACGAAACAAATTTTTAATATATTTCTCTGACATATTTGATAGAATTTTAATTTTTGAAAACCGACTTTAGAGTTGTAATTATTTATAATTATGTATTATGTCGGATCCAAATGGAACACGACCATTAGGGGCCTCACTATAAATTCACCTTGCCCACCCCTAAATTTAACCCAGACTGAAAATATATTTTACCTAACTTTTAAGTTAATTAAAACAAATAAGAAAAAAAGGAATTTTGAAAAGAATTGTGAGTTTGATAGATTTCTCATCAATACTTTAAAAAATTCATCCAACAAGAAAAAGCTTTCTATTCGAAGTCTAATTTAATATTCCCTGTGAGGATAAGCTCTCGCGATTTCGACAAAACACTTTGGCACTCAAATCATAAAAAAAAAGTTTGTAAAAAAATATTTCAAAATTTTCTTAATAATCAAGATTATATATCGTAAATAAATATTATACAATAACCGTATATTTCAATGTAGATGAAAAAATTTTATAATAAAAAGTAATTTGCCACAATATTTTACAATAAAGTTGATTAGTTACAGCGATGTTATATATATTTTCAATTTGTGAGTGAACCGCATAAAAAAAGTTATCTAGAAATTGCAAAGATTTTTTGACCTCAACTATTCAAAAAAAAAAAAAAAAAAATTGCCAATCTCAGAAACGATATAAGAAGTAAAAAGTAAATTGTACACTTGGGATTTAAGAAAAAAAAGCTTTCTTTATATTACGTTTGTCATATAGATATTCCAGAATTACTTTTATTATACAGGAAGAAAGAAATCGATACAAATAAAAGCTGTAATATATAATAAATATTTGTTTAATCGATAAACATAACAAGACAAGGTAAATATCGAGTAATAATAATAATAATGAGAATTCACTGAAAAAAAAATTATATATTCTACATATATATATAGTTTGGCTTCTATTTGTGAATAAAAATTGTCTACATTTTATTCTTATAGGTAGAATAGAATATATTGTTAAAATAAGCAGCAATGTTTCAAATTTAGAAAATATAAGAAAATATTTTTAATTTTTAAAAAATACACTGAAAAAAATTTATTTGATTTAAATAATCGGTTACAATTACCAAATAAATATTTTCTTAAACCAAATAATTTTTATTTAAGTCAATTAAATACATAAATTATTGGTTCAAATACAGTTTATTTAATTCAAATAAAAATTATTTAATTCAAGGAAATATTTACTTGATAATAGTCAAGTAACCGACTATTTAAGATAAATAAATTAATTAAAATAAATAAATTAAAATTAATAAATTACAAAAGTTAAAAAAAAATGAAAAAGTAAAAATTATTTAAAAAAAAAGGCATGAAAGTGTTTTTAGTATTGCATAATTATTTCTATTAAGTCACTATCTTTAAAAGCGATCTAAAAGATAAAAATATGAAAAAAGTGAAATGATAAAATAGTTGCAAGACTATTGAGACCAAAAAAAACTTTTTAATTTAACTATTTAAAAAATAAAGTAATAAAAATGATAACATTGTATTTCTAATGAATTAAATTCCGTACTTCGGTATTTTTCAATGCAGTTTGCGCATGCTGAATATTTCTATATAGTGACGTCATTCTGTAAAAAAAATCAATTCATTCCCCAGTAGATGTGCTTTATTTTTGTTTATATTTAAAAAATTGAGTACAACTATAATTAATAAATTTTTTTTTATTGTTTCGATTATTAATAATAAAATTAACTTTTATAAAAATATGAAATCTTTTGCTTTCTGAATGAATAATAAAGCGGAAACGAAAGTATATATATTGATTTGCACTTTACTTAAAATATAATTATATAACTTATAATTTTTTTTGTAATTAATTGTAATTTCTTCGAATTTTTTGTATTAATAAAAAAATTAATATTTATTAATAAAATATTTCTGAACTTTTATATATAGTTTATAAAATAATATAGTTTTATTTTATAAAAGAATTTTTTGATTTTATAAATTTCACTCAAAATAGAAAAAATAATTTATAAAAAAATAGAAACTTTTTTTTTCGAAAAGTATTTTGAATATATAAATTTTGAAATTCCTTGATAGCAATAAGTTTTCATGTTTCGATAATGTAGGTTTACTATCTTATCGATTTTCTTTGGTAAAAGCTTGATTATTTTAACACACGTGTCGCTTAATACTTATTTGAAAAATAGTGAAAAAATTATTTCAAATATGGGGGAAATTTTTTTGTACTCTCCAGGTCATAGGTAACTACTGTTGGAAACAACATTCATAAATATTTTTTGAAACTTTTCTAAGTTTTTTGAAACTATTTTTTAGTACTAATTGAAAGTAACAAGAAACGTAGAAAGATCCTAAAAAGCGTTTGCGCGACCTCTTGCAAATTCACTTAACTTGTTCGCCCCAGAACCCTCTCGTTTTTTCCGAATTCAACCCTAACATGAGCAAATTCAATTTTACCTTTATTTTCGCTCAAATTTTTAACCAAAAATTTGTGAAAGACTCTTTTAAAAAATTAAAATACCTATATGTTTCGGTTTGTACGTTATAATTTTCTTTTAATTGTTTATTGATTTAAAATTTAAATTAAATTGGAAAAATTTTTAAAAATGTACAAATTAATAATGAAAATAAAATTCACTTTTGGTTTAATCAATTTTAATAAATATAATTCACTTGAAACCCAAGTTCCTATATCCTTTTCTTAAAAAATAATTATTTTTAATTTGTAATTGAGGTCAAAATGTGCATTAGGTCTAACCACGTCACAAAACAAAATATATTACTGCAATAGTTGAAATATTTTCAATATTGCAGAAATATTTTCACAGAAAAAAAGGTGGATAAAAAGTTGTAAAGATAGAGGATAAAAGTCGTTAGGATACAGGGTAAAGGATAAATTTGTGATGGATAAAAATGTTACTAAAATATTACTAGAAAAATGGATGTCATATTTGAGTAAACTGTCTAATTTTAATAAAAATATTAGTTATTTTACACTTAACTTATTAAATCCACAAATTTTATATAAATAAGTAATTGCATGTGGAAATATTTTGCCTATAATTATTGTCTATTAATAAAAATATCTTTGACTAATACAACTGACAGCTGATGAGCTGACGACAGTACGTAAATAATCAGAACTGGAAAATTACAACCCAACGTCTGTATTGTTGCACGAAAGCAGAGTTGGGTAGTAACTGAATTTTTTGTGCATATTAGGCTGTGTCAGTTCATCGAGATATTTCGAGTTCAAGATATGACGTCAGAGGCCTGGAGAGACAACAAACAAACGACACAATGTTATTCTTACGGGAAAGAAAATTTGTTTCCACTTTCAGCAATTTTATTCATACTTTAAACACGGAAAACGCTTGTTGACATCTAATAAAATTAAAATGTGTGTTGATAATTAATTGTGTTATATATTTGATTCAATTGCATTGATAGATTCTCTTAATTCGTGATAAAATATAAATTTTGAGGTTAGAAAAGTTTGTTTACTAATCACTTTTTACATTTTAACATTATTAAACAATATCCAGTATGCATGTTATTAAAAAAGATATAAAATATATATTTTAAGTGGGAATTACCGCAGCAGTAAAAGATTTCAAGTTAGTAAACAAACTTTTCTAACCTCAATATTTATATTTTATCACCAATTAAGAGAATCTATCAATGCATTTGAATGAAATATATAACAAAATTAATTATCAACACACATTTTAATTTTATCAGATGTCAACAAGCGTTTTCCGTGTTTAAAGTATGAATAAAATTGATGAAAGTGGAAACTAATTTTCTTCCCCATAAGAATAACATTGTGTCGTCTGTTTGTTGTCCCTCCAGACCTCTGACGCCATATCTTGAACTCGAAATATCTCGATGAACTGACACAGCCTAATATGCACAAAAAATTCAGTTGTAACCCAACTCTGCTTTCGTGCAACAATACAGACGTTGAGTTGTAATTTCCCAGTTCTGATTATTTACGCACTGTCGTCAGCTGTCAGTTGTATTAGTCAAAGATATTTTTATTAATAGACAATAATTATAGGCAAAATATTTCCACATGCAATTACTTATTTCTAAAAAAATTGTGGATTTAATAAGTTAAGTGTAAAATTACTAATATTTTTATTAAAATTAGACAGTTTACTCAAATATGACATCCATTTTTCTAGTAATATTTTAGTAACATTTTTATCCATCACAAATTTATCCTTTACCCTGTATCCTAACGACTTTTATCCTCTATCTTTACAACTTTTTACCCACCTTTTTTTCTGTGTGAAAAATTTTTCAAATATTGTTTTTTGAAGAATTTTTCATGTCCTTTTTTATGCCATAAAAGGATTTTCCAAAAAAATATTTGTAACTCCATTTTTTCAAAATTAACCCTTATTTTTCAGTTTTTACCCTGTTGGGAAATTTTGTTTTTTTCTTTTTCTATTATATATTTTTATTAGAAAGATGAGATTTTTTCCATCAAAAATATATAAAAAGGAAGCTGGGAAAACAATAAGTTTTAGAGAAAGTGCAAAAAAAATCAATTTTTTTTTAACTCTTTTTAATTTCTTTTTTATATTTCTATAGCTTACAAGGGTCATTTATAAAACTAAAATAATACATAATACAAATATATAACAATAATTATTAATGTGAAAAATAGAAATATTTATTAAAAAAAAGGTATAAAAATTATTTTAATCGATATTTAGTTGTCGAAATGAACCTTGAATTCCATCTAATTCTTTAGTGAGTGCCGATTTATGACTGGGCATTCGTAAGTTTTCATCAGTCTTGCTGATTTTTTCATCCCGTAAATACCAATCTCTGTGCTTTTCAATTTTTCTACACCAAGCATCTGAAAATAATTTTTTATTATTATAATAAATATATAAGTTACTTTTAAAAAATACCGTTTAATTCTTTAAAAGTTCCAGCTTTGCCTCCCCATTCATTAGGCAAAATTTCTTGTTCTATATATGGATATAAATCTTCGCCACCTCCAGTGTGAATTCGAAACTATATTATAGAAAAATTTTTGTTTTAAAAAATTCGAAAAGTTATTGTGAATTCTATGAAATTTTATTTTCAAGTTATATAATTATTTTTAAATAGGTCAGAATTTCTTAAACGAATCACCTAAAATTAACAAAAATGTTCAATGTTAAATCGTTTTTTTTTACTTTCTGTAGTAGTTAAAATAAGATTTTGAAAATATTAGACAAAAAAAAATTGTTTAGATAATGAAAAACACATGAAGAACACTTTTTTTTATTAACATTTTATTGAAAAATTATTTTTTTTTATTTACGACAGCTAAAAACTTTAATTTTTTATAATTTTAACAGAAAATTTTGTTTTGGTGTGATATTTTTAGAAACTTATTTTATCACAGTAAGAGTAAAAAAAACTATTTGACATTGAAAATTATATATTTGTTAATTTTTAGTGATCCGGTTGAAAAATTATGACCCAAAAGGACCCCGCACACGCAACATTGATTTTCGGGCCCTGTCAAAATGGCTGGAATTAAAGTATTTTGTAGCTGAAGTCCTCCCGAACAAAAAATGTTAATGGAAAAATCCGCCAAAATTATTAGTTTTTGAGATAAAAAATAAAAAAGGTGAACGAAATCGAAAAATTGAGATTCTAAATAAAGTAAAGTACCTGAATGTTTTTAAAAAGTTTTAAGCATTCAGAATGTTACAACTTTAAGGATTTATTCTTAAATTAAAGTCAACAGTTTAAGGAACATAAAACTGTCCCGAAACTGTCCCACAATTGTCCCAAACGTGTTTAAATAATTAAAAAAATATATATAAATTATTTTTAGGCAATCAAACTATAATATTGTCATTCTGCTAGAAAATCTAAGGGACAAGCACAGTTCCTTACATGTCCCAGAAATGTCCCAAAATATTTTTAGAGTATTTAGAAACTATTACAGAAGAGATTTTCAAGTAATCCAATTATAATATATTGTCTAGCGAGCCAAAGGTATAGGGACCAGTACTGTCCCATACATGTCCCATAAGTGTCCCAAAATATTTTCACAGTAATAATTAACTATTAAAAGATATTTTTCGGTAATCCAACTATAATATATATCATCTATCGAGTTAAATGTTTAGGGACAAGTATCGTTCATTGTATGTCCCAGAAGTGTCCCAATGTATTGTCAGAGTAATAAGAATCTATTAAAAGTGATTTTTAGGGAATCCCACTATAATATATATTGTCTATTGAGATATATTTTTATGTACAAGTACTATTCCATGCATGTCCCACAAGTGTCCCAAAATATTTTCAGAGTAATAAAAAAACTATTAAAAGAGATTTTCAGGGAATCCTACTATAATATATATCGTTCATCGAGTTTAAGGTTTAGACACAATTATCGTTCAGTGCATGTCCCAGAAGTGTCCTAAAATGTTTTCAGAGTATCCACAAAATATTAGAACTGATTTTCTGACAAATGATGAAGAGGAATATATTTTATTTGTAAATGTTATTTTATAGGACATACATGAAAAAAGACTTGTCTCTAACCCTCTCACTTGGTAGTCAGTTTATATAGTAGTTGGATTCACTGAAACTCTGTTATTGATCCTTTTTTAAATACTCTAAAAATATTTTGGGACACTTATGGGACATGTGTGGGACAGTACTGGTCCCTATACCTTTGGCTTGCTAGGCAATATATTTATAATTGGATGACTTGAAAATCTCATTTGTAATAGTTTCTAAATACTCTAAAAATATTTTGGGACATTTCTGGGACATGTAAGGATCTGTAATTGTCACTTAGATTTTCTAGTCGAATGACAATATTATAGTTTGATTGCCTAAAAATAACTTTATATATTTTTTTAATTGTTTAAACACGTTTGGGACAATTGTGGGACAGTTTCAGGACAGTTTTATGGCCCTTAAACATATGGGACATTTCTGGGACATGTAAGGAACTGTACTTGTCCCTTAGATTTTCTAGCCGAATGACAATATTATAGTTTGATTGCCTAAAAATAACTTTATATATATATTTTTTAATTGTTTAAACACGTTTGGGACAATTGTGGGACAGTTTCGGAACAGTTTTATGTTCCTTAAAATGTTGACTTTAATCTAAGAATAAATCCTTAAACTTGTAACATTCTGAATGCTTAAAACTTTTTAAAAACATTCAGGTACTTTACTTTACTTAGAATCTCAATTTTTCGATTTCGTTCACCTTTTTTATTTTTTATCTCAAAAACTATTAATTTCGGCGGATTTTTCCATTAACATTTTTTGTTCGGGAGGACTTCAGCTACAAAATACTTCAATTCCAGCCATTTTGACCGGGCCCGAAAATCAATGTTGCGTGTGCGGGGTCCTTTATTATAGTTTTACGATTTTTTTAATTTTCTTGTCGTGTATACTTTTATGGATATACCTTTTGAATTAACTTTTCTTTCAGCAGAGGATAAAAAATATTGAGTACACTTCCAATAAATGCTGGAGCGTGAATATAATGCACTCGATGCAAACGAAAGGGCATACTGTCTTGTGTCGCAAGCATGGCCCTTCGAACAATCGATTGTGTTGGACTGCATTTAGCAAAATGTCCTGCAGTGAAACCCTATATATAAAAAAAAAGAATTGATATTAATTTATTTTAATTTTTTAATATACATATGAATAAGAACAAAAAATAATTATTCACAATTTTTATTTGATAGAATTTCATTAGATACAGTCAACAGGGGCTATTCTACTCGCCCAGGGGCTATTATACTCAGCGCCAGTTTTTAATTAATAAAATATTTATATTGAAATGTTTAAACTTGATACTTTGTTTTTTTTTATTGTTGGATAATTTTATTACTGAGGGCACTAAATATTATTATTTAATTTTTTGTTAGAACGCAGAAAAAAATTCATAAAGTCTTGAAAGTATGAAAATATTTTTTTGCACATTCGCAAACTTTATACTGGATTTCGAGGAGTTTTCTAGTATTTCGCAAAATATTGCAAGTAAGTGTTGTCAATTTAGTAGTAATTATGTACACGTGATGCGAGAACTTTTTGTTGCGTATTTTTTAAAGAGAAAAGTGCGAAAAACTATAAAATACCATGATTCTCTTGGTAATTATTACTCACTTGTTAAAATTAATTATTTTTCGCAAATTTTTTTTTGTAGAAGGTAAATAAGTGTTTTGTTTTTAAAAAAAGTAGAAATATGTAAATTATAAGATTTCACAGGGTACAACATAACCTCAAAAAATTAATTCTCATTAATATTTATATAAATTTTAAGTTAAATTTGTTTCTATTTCTCTTAAAATAACTAAAAAGCTTGTTAGAAATTATATTGAGCTATTTACTAACTTAAAAAATGTTAAATTATCGAAATTTTTACCTATTTTTAATAAATATAGATTTTAGTTAAATTTTAATGTTTAACTTTTTAATTTGTTAAACAATATTGTTATATAAAGTTTTTTTTTAATTTTCTATTTTTTCATCGTAATCTAGATTATCTGCAGAAAAGATTTCTTATTAGTTAAAGCTCTATAAAAAATATTGAGAATATTTTATAAATAAACAAACTTTGCTGAGTATAATAACCCCAACCTCGGTGAGTATAATAATCCCGTGGTTAGGGGCTATTATACTCATCACTTCAAGTTTCTATATAACTATGGTAAAACATTTTTTCTCGTCTAAAATAAAATAACACAAGAATTGAAATTTTGTTTTACTTAAATTCTGAATTTTAGTGAAGCGCTGATTTAAAAAGTAGCATTTTTAATCCAACTTTTAATAAAAATTTCATTCGTCAGAAGAAATATTTAACAGAAAGATTATGACGCGAATTTTAACATTATAACTAATCAGAAATTATCTAAAAATTATAATTTTTCAATTTCAAAATTTGTGGCAAAATCTTTTTGTCGGTTGTTAAGCCATTTTCAATTTCGATTAAATAAAAATTCGACTTAGTTCAAAATTCTGCAAAATAAAAATTTGATTTAATTATAGAATTACTGTACATGAAAATTAGGTTCAATAGAAATTTTGTTGAATAAACCTGTAGTAAACTAATGAGAATATGCCATAAAAAAATTCTGTCAAATTCTATACCAATACTGAAATTTTATCAAAAATGCAACTTGTATAACGAATTTGAAGCTTATTGATACGTTCCAATTTTTCTTATCCTATGTATGGGTCATATAAACTTTATTATTGGGTCAAACCATTATATTTCAACTAAAGTGGTCGCTGACTAATTTTTAAAAATTATAATACTTTGCAGGAATGATTTTGAAGTTATCAAGATTACGAAATGAAAAGAATTTTATTAAAAATTTAAATATTTATTGTAAAATATGAATTTAAAGTATATGAGGTGCTAAAAACTGTCAATTTTTTAGCCATTAGAAAATATGCAAAAAAACATAGAATTTACCATAAAAATAAAAAAAAATTATTGGAATTTACTAAGAATGAATAAATTTATCATTATCAATTGATATAATTATTTAAAGATGTGAAGTAATATATAAAATATGATTTCCAAGTGCACCTGTTAAATAACCTAATTTTGCGATTTTTATTCATTAATTATAAAAAATAGAAAACATTAAATTAAATAAAAACTTACCAAATATGAAGTTCTTGCCATAAACTTTTAGAATTTCTTTGCACTTTTCTTCTTTTCTATTCATAAGTATGAAAATTTTTAAAAATAAAATAGCTACTTTGTCTATTTTCACTATTTTTGAAAGTCAATAACTTTCTTGGAGAAAAATGAAAAAATATGGGGTTTCGAAAATTATTTAAATACACACTACATATACATTCACTGAAAATTTCGCATTGGTCCCGAAGCTATTTTCGAAGATAAAATAGATTAAAAATTTCGTATTTTTTAGGCTATATTGACATGGGTTTTAAAGGTATTAAATCAATGTGAAGTTTGTCGTCACCAGTGAACCACCTTCACATTGATTTAAAACCCATGTCAATATAGCCTAAAAAATACGAAATTTTTAATCTACTTTATCTTCGAAAATAGCTTCGGGACCAATGCGAAATTTTCAGTGAATGTATATGTAGTGTGTATTTAAATAATTTTCGAAACCCCATATTTTTTCATTTTTCTCCAAGAAAGTTATTGACTTTCAAAAATAGTGAAAATAGACAAAGTAGCTATTTTATTTTTTAAATTTTTCATACTTATGAATAGAAAAGAAGAAAAGTACAAAGAAATTCTAAAAGTTTATGGCAAGAACTTCATATTTGGTAAGTTTTTATTTAATTTAATGTTTTCTATTTTTTATAATTAATGAATAAAAATCGCAAAATTAGGTTATTTGACAGGTGCACTTGGAAATCATATTTTATATATTACTTCACATCTTTAAATAATTATATCAATTGATAATGATAAATTTATTCATTCTTAGTAAATTCCAATAATTTTTTTTATTTTTATGGTAAATTCTATGTTTTTTTGCATATTTTCTAATGGCTAAAAAATTGACAGTTTTTAGCACCTCATATACTTTAAATTCATATTTTACAATAAATATTTAAATTTTTAATAAAATTCTTTTCATTTCGTGATCTTGATAACTTCAAAATCATTCCTGCAAAGTATTATAATTTTTAAAAATTAGTCAGCGACCACTTTAGTTGAAATATAATGGTTTGACCCTATTGTAAAAAAAATTAGTTTTTTAAAAGTATTTAATTAGTATAAAAAAATTTAGTTTCAAGGTTAAACTTTTCTAATATCTCAGAACACGTTGTCTCCGATTTTGACAAAATCTATGTCGAAAGAAAACTTAAATATTCTATTTTTTATATCTATAAAGTTTATAATGGACATTTTAGAAGATTTTGAGAAATTAATTAAAATTTTCAGAGGTTGAAACCGGAAAGAAAATTTTCAGATTTGAGTACCACAGTTTAAATGAATACAACCGTTAATGAAAATATAATTTAAAAAACAAATTCCGCTCTGTTAAATAAGTGGTTCTCAATTCAAACAAATTTCAACCCATTTTTACCTATGAAATGTCTGAGAATTTTAATTAATTTCTCAAAATCCTCTAAATTGTTAATTATAAACTTTACGGAAATAAAAAATAGAATATTTAAGTTTTTTTTCGACATATATTTTGTCAAAATCGGATACAACGTGTTTTGAGATATTTAGAAGTTCAACCTTCAAACTAAATTTTTTATACTAATTAAATATTTTTAAAAAAAAATTTTTTACAATTATAAAGTTTAGAAATTTCTCTTTCGAAACTACTCATTGTAAAGGTAATTTGATTTAATTAAATAGGAGAAATAATTATTTAAAAATTCTCTTATATTGTCTATGTTTTTCTAAGGGTATAATTTTCAAATAGAATGTCCCATATTTATAAAAGTATTAATTTTTATTTTAGAAATTTATGTTATAGTTTAAAAAAAAATTCACCTCTAAATCAAGGATCATGATATTTGATAAAGAAGCTTCCTCCAATAAACGAAGATCCATTACCATTAAGATTCTTCGAGTTATGGCTTGTAGGGAAAATTTTTCCAATGCATTATTATTTAACCGCAATATTGTAACTCTGTGTCCTTCTTGAGTTAATGATGGTAAGATAAAATATTGTCTGTAAATAATTTTTAAAATCTTATATTATTTTTATTTTTATAAATTAATTTGCAATAATGTGATTATTAATTGATAAATGAAAATTATTTTTTTCAAATCATTACAAAAGTATTTTACATAATTTTACAGCAATCTTGAATTTCTTTTGTCAATGGATCTCTGGCTGCAAAAAATTCCGGTAAAGCTGTGCGTGCACTGTAGTATCTTTCTAAAATTAATTTGCATCTTTCAATACTATTTTTGCATCCAAAAAGAAAATTTCCTAGTCTTTTATCATCTGAAACAAAACTTACAAATAAAATTTAAAATAAACAAAATAAAAAGCAAAGTTTATTAATAAAAATTTATTGTAATTTTATTTTATTATCAATAATACTAAAACAAAATTTATTTATTAATTTATAAATTCACTTTTATTAATTATAAATTAAAGAAAATTAATTTTATTTTAATAAATAATTAAATATTTATAAGAAGAAAAAGAATTTAATTTTACCCATGTTTTTTGGCAAATGAGGTTGTTTTCTTAACCATTCTTTTATAGCAATTAAATCTCGTTTTCTCATTTCCGGATCAGGTGGAAGTTCTTCATCAATTCGCTTTTGTTGCTCCAAAGTTGGAGGAAGAAGTGTCATTTTATATATATATAACTAAAACTATATAAGTATTGCATTGAGTAAAATAATTGATTACAAAATTTTGTAGAAGCATGAAATACGTTATTAAGAAAATTTTGCACAACAAGAAGACTGAATATATCTATTTATTTTAATTGATTTACTTTATATATGATGTATTCCACGATTTTTTTTTCTTTTAGTACTAATTGAGACTAGCTTCCATGAATTTGTTTAAATTTTTTAGCAAGTCGTTTTTGAGTTGTGGAATTTTGAAAATTGGAGAATTTTCATGACTTTTAATTTTTGAATGCTCATGACTTTCTTAAAAATCCATTAATTTTAAAAGTCTTTTTTTCAAAATGTGTGCTTTTAATTTTAAACGTACTTTTTAAAAAAAATCGAAATTTTTTTTTAAACGATATTACTATCATTATTAAAGTTGTCAAAATTTATCAATCTTCCAAGTCAATTGTAATATTTGAAAAAAGGAAAATAAAAAATAAAAAACGATTCCTTTTTTCAAATATTACAATTGACTTGGAAGATTGATAAATATTAACAACTTTAATATACACTCACCAAGTGATAAATTCAATATTATTGAGACATTAATATCAAATTTTTGAGTTTTAATGATAAAAAGTCATTTTTCTCATTTGACGTACTGATCGTTTTTTTTCAAAAAATTTTCAACTTCTTTTTACGAAACTTTTAAGCCTAGCCCGATAATGGGCAAACTATTTTTACAATATTTTCGGAATTTTTCAAAAAAATTTGAATTTTTTAAAAATATTTTTGGTTTTTTTTATACTACGTACTTTTATGTATTTTGTTGCGCTGATTACGAAAATCATAGTGACAATACCCAAAAAATTGATTTTTAGGGTGAAAACCATAAAAAAGTCCCAAAATTTATGGTTTTTTTCGTTTATTGGGTAAAATATGCAAAATTAAAAAAATGTATTTTAATAAGATCTATAACTTTTGTTTAAAAGTTTTTTTTTAATTTTGCATATTTTACCCAATAAACGAAAAGAACCATAAATTTTGGGACTTTTTTATGGTTTTCACCCTAAAAATCAATTGTTTGGGTATTGTCACTATGATTTTCGTAATCAGCCCATCAAAATACATAAAAGTACGTAGTATAAAAAATAACCAAAAATATTTTTTCAAAATTCAAAATTTCTTGAAAAATTCCGAAAATATTGTAAAAATAGTTTGCCCATTATCGGGCTAGGCTTAAAAGTTTCGTAAAAAGAAGTTGAAAATTTTTTGAAAAAAAACGATCAGTACGTCAAATGAGAAAAATGACTTTTTAGCATTAAAACTCAAAAATTTGATAGTAATATCGTTTAAAAAAAAATCGATTTTTTTTTCAAAAAGTACGTTTAAAAGCACACATTTTGAAAAAAAAAGACTTTTAAAATTGATGCATTTTTAAGGAAGTTATGAGCATTCAAAAATTAAAAGTCATGAAAATTCTTCAATTTTCAAAATTCCATAACTCGAAAACGGCTTGCTAAAAAAATTTGAAAAAATTCATGGAAGCTAGTCTCAATTAGTACTAAAAGAAAAAAAAATCTCAAAAAAATCAGAGATGCAATTGCAAATGGACTTACACTTTGGCGTGGAATACATCATATATTTTAATTGATTTATTTTATAAATAAAATTTAATTTTGATTTTACATTATATAAAAAATTTATTTTAATTTTTTAAGTTTATTAAGGCGGAATGCGTGCCATAACAAAAAATAAAGATTTTTTGATGCTTTTGAAATATGTTAAAGTTGAATTAATTTTACATAATTTAGTAATGTTTAAACCAAAATGGATTAAAATAAGCAAAATTGGATTAAAATAATAAGCGTTGCAGCTTATTTTAATGCCTTTTAATTTTCTATGAATGTTTCAATTACGGCGAGGGAAAAAATTTGATCTCAAATAATTAAATTAATAATTGTTTAAATGTGCATCTTTATTAGTAATTGTATATCAAAAAAAGATTTAAAAAATTTTTTTGAAATCATTTTGCAACAGGTATATTAAATATATAATAGTAATAATAGTTATTTTTTATGAACGCGCCGTAATTGGTACACTTACCCTAGTGTGTTTCACAGATAGCTAATACACATAAAATCATTTAAATAATTATAATGATTTTAGTTTAAATGAATTTTTTTAATTGACTCTTATTTGTGACTCGTAGTAACGTAAATATACTTAAAAATTAGTTTGCTGATTTTATAAAATTGTTTTAAAATATTTTTTTTTGTAAAAGCTCGCTTGACTTCAATTTACGGCAAGCATTCCTTCTTAATTTAATTAATTAATTTTAAGTTAATCTTAATTTCTGTAATATATAAAATTAGTATTTACTCGTTGAGCAAATACAAATTTACTTAATTCTGCAAATTCTTCTATGCAAGGCTCTTTTGAATATCAATATTTACATTCATTACACAAGAATATTTATTTTATTCTTATATTTGTTGAGGAGTGGAATATGTATAGGCACTGATATTTTAGTAATCTTTTAGTGTCAAATGCAATTTTATTGATTTCTATTTATTGGCATTAAATACTTGAAGTGATCACAAATTTATTTTAAAAACAGAAGACTTTTAGATAAAGTACTTTCAACCCTTTCAGTTGTCAAAATAAAACAATAGAAACAAACCTCAATTAGTGATCCAGATACGTAACATCAAGGGGTTACTGAAATATTTATCTTGTTCTAATAAAACGTATTATTTAATTAAATTATTTGATTAATAAAATTTTATGAAATCAAATTTTTAATTAGCAGAATTTTTAATTATCAAAAATTTTTTTTTTACAGAATTTTTCTAACTTTTTACTTAAGGAAGTTCTCTCGCAAACAGAAATGACGAAGAGTTAATTATCAAACTTGATAAACTGATAGATAATGGTTTAAAGAAGATGTAGTTAAATTTTTAGAGGTCTAGGTGGATTTTGACAAAAGATATAAATAATTTTCTCTTTTCACATTTAACACGGGTTCTTATGGGAAATTGAATTTTTTGGTCTGAAATCTCAAATTGTGAAAAATCTGACGAAAAGATATTACTGGAACTTTATATACATAAAGTTTAATAGCCAATGTTCACTTACTTTTAATAAAATTGATCAGACCTGGCTTAGGAGACTCACAATTAATTATTTTGTCTAAAAAAACACCGTATTTTGACAATCAGAAATTACTTAGCACAACGCTTGGCAACGTTGCGTCTTGTAGGTTAGGTATAGAAAAAGCGCGAAATTTGAAAGTAATATAAGTAGTATATACATATAATAGTATATTCTTCAAAGATTCATAATAATGAATAATAATTTGAATTTGCTTATAAAAAATTAAGATTTTTAAAATAATAAATTATTATTATTATTATTTAACGAAAATAAATCAAACAATAGCAGACGACACGAAACGGAACGGGGGAAATATAATCCAACGTTGCCAAGCGTTGAGCTAGTACTACGTGATACAAATGAAAACTTAAATGGGCATTGATTTGACTGACGTTGGAGGGGGAGAACTTCCTTAAAAGAATTCTAATTTCGAGTAAATGAAGATTAGTCGTTTTAAGAATTCTATCAAAAAAACAATTCGTATACAGAAAAATTCTTACAAATGAAAATTCGATGAATTGAAAATGCAAAAATTTCAAAATTCGAATCATTCGAAATTTTGTTTTATGGAAATTATATTTTAAAATTCGGTTAAATTTTTTTTTTTTAAATAAAAAGTTAAATAAAGAGAAATTTTGTAAAATAAAAATTCTGACAATTAAAAATTTCGTAACATAAAAATTCTGTTAAGCAAAAATTTGTTTAAAAAGAAATTCTATTAAATGCTAAAACAAAAAATACAATTTCGTCTAAAATGAATTATATCGAATACAAAAAATTCTAAGTAACTACTTTTTTGGGATAATCATGAGACCCAAAAATTCGCTTCTTTCAAAAATTCAAAATAAAATATTAAAAAATAACATCTTCTATCGGTATAAAGTCTCATAGAAAATATAACATTTTAAAATTCCTCTTCAAAAAAAAAAATAAATTATTTGATTCAAATAATTCATTACTTGACTATTGCAAATAAATTTTTACCTAAACCAAATAATTTTTGAAATGAAATAATTGAAGTAAATGAACTGTATTTGAATCAATAATTTTTGTATTCAAAACAAATACCATTTAATTAACTTAATAATTATTTGATTCAAATAAATATTTATTTGATAGTCGCAAATAACCGATTATTTGAAGTCAAATAAATTTCTTTTCAGGTGAAATGTTATAGCTTTATGGAAAAAGTGAAATAATTATTTTTATTTTTAAAAATCAGGATAACTTTAAGAGAACCTGCATAATATTTACAGAAATATTTTAAATAGATTAAAATCTTTTATAACAAGTTTAAAAAAAAATTGTTATAATTCAAAGTGAATTAATAAACTTATTTCAGGAATTTCACGAAATTATCGATATGTAATTTCAATTAAGAAACCAGATCAGTCAGTTATTTTCACTAATATAATGCATGCTCATGTGTGGGTATCAGTCAATTAACATTTTGCGTTATATGACTTTGGCTTTCGAGTCTCGTTTACGTTAAATGAATATTTTATTTAAATTAAAATAATTTATATTGCAAATATAGAAATATTTTATTAGTTAAATTATCCGTGAAAAAATTTATATTTAAATATAAAAAAATATTCTTTTTATATATATATATTTCATCATCAGAGAATTGGAAAGTTCTTGTCAACTCTGAAAAAACTAATAATTCAAATGTGCAGTGCTCAGTTGTTTCTTAAAAAAATATTTTGCAATCGATACATATGTATATATGTTTACGTTCCGCTTGATTATTGGCATTGGACAAAAGAGAAATTACTTCTTACGATACATGCATTTTGTTTCCATATCTTTCCACAGTCAGCTAAATTATTTACCCATCAATTTTAGAAAGCAATTTTTTATTCAACTTGTTTACCCAAAAAATTTACGTGATTTGCAAGAAAATTATTTTTATATTAATTTCATTCATTTTTCTATACTGTATATTTTTTATTGTTTTTAATTTATAAAATAAAATATTATTAATTTTATTATTTATTTATTTACAAATAAAATGATTATTATTTTATATGTATTTTTTACAATTTTTTTTAAATTACTTTTATAATCAATAATAATTTATTGTTATATAAGTAATGAGCAATAAAAAAAAAAATACAAAATACAAAATATTTTAATAATGTTGTCATATTTCTTTAGATGAAAATTATCATAAATGTTTCGTTTACTATTTATTTAGTGACGTTGCTTCCTGTAATATATAATACCATTTTAAGAAGTAACTTTAAGTATTTCGCACTTTGGAATGACTTATTTTTTTTTCCTTTTGTGTCAAACACTTGATATCACGTGACTTAGCCTTCGAGATATAATTACAAATTAACAAGAGAATTTACTAATATATAGTTCAGCAATTTGTAATTTGTTAAAAATAATATTTTGTTATTAAAAATAAAATAATTTATAAATAATAATAACAAAATGAATAATAATAATAATAATAATTGTAAATAATTAGAAAAGATTTTTTTAAACTTGGCCTTATTGTAAAAATAAAAATATAGTTTATTTAAAAAAAAATCTTTGAATTATATATGTTATATGGCTTTTAAGGATTTATTCCATTCTAATTGATTAATAAATAATAATAATAGTAACAAACTGAAGGAAATTATAAATTTCTTCGCACAACTAAACATCAATTTTACAATTGTTTATATGATTACATTTTGATGATTTTTGTTGACTATAATGTATGAAAAGTTAAATGAAAAAAATGTATTTTATTAATTATGATAAAAAATAGTTTTTCTTTTTTAAAAGACTTACTTTAATGTAAAAAAAATTGACTTTAAATTATCCAAAGAAATCGCACCGGTTCTGTTACCACTTCTAACTTGGTTCTGACTTCAGATTTGAATGAGCCCTCCACCAGTACCCCCCACGCTTGTAATAACATAATATATATTGAATTCTTGTTCCATTCTTAAACAACAAAAACCGTTTAAAAAGCATTATTGAAGAAAAAATTTCTTTTTTATATTTCTTCATTATTTCTAAATTATTAGTTAGAAAATTTTATAATGTTTAATTATTTAGATTATAAATTTCAATAAAACAAATATTTCATAAAAATAAAAACTTTTAAGAATAAAACAAATTATTTAATACTTATTAAAAATTTTTATTATATTTTATTACCTATATTATTATATTATAATTTATTTATTTATTTTAATTTATATTTATTTATACATTAATAATTATTATTTTTTAAAAATATTATATATAATATTAATATAGAAAAATAATTACTAATGTCTCTAAATTTATGCAAAATTATTGATATTTTTGCAATCATTGTCACTATGTATGTGTGGGCGTCATATATAAATTGCTAGGTAAAATATCATTGTTAATTGATCTCTTTTTAATTATTGTTACGTTATATACAAAAATTCAAAAAAATTATTTTGTTTTCTACTAAAAAATGTTGCACATTTTTCTTTAATTTATTAATAATGATATTGTCAGTAAAAGTAAAGTCTTTATTAAAAATTCTCAGGTTTTGGGAATTTAAAAAATTTTCAACATTTTTAAATAAACATTAAAATAAATAATATAAAATAATAATAATTTTGAAATGTAATACTTCCAAAAATAAATAATAAAGTTAAAAAGCTACAGGTATTTATAAAACTTAATTTTATTATATAAATAATAGCTGAGTTATGATTTTTAATTTTAATTCTTATGTGATTAAGAGGAAATTATAATGAAGGACTAATTGACGTTCATAATAATTATGGTAAATGAAACGCAATTTCCATATGGATTTTTTTTTTTTTTTGCTTTTGTTGATTTTATCTATAACTTCAATTTTTAAGTAAATTATTATCAATGTCATGAATAAAAAGTTTACAAATCAATGCAAAAAAAATTCCTCTACCTACAGTGAAAAAGAAAATTATTTTGTTCAATTAATTCAAATTTATATGAAAAAAATATACTTTTGTAACAAATATATTTTTTTATTTTTATCTAAAAAATATATATTTGATTCAAATAACTTCAATGATTTGAATTTGACTTATTTAAATCAAGTAAATTTTCATTAGATCAAGTAAATATAATTAATTGAATTTAATAAATAATTTCTTTAAACTAAAATAATAAGTTTTTTCAAATTATTTATTACACTGAAATATTTGATAGGATTAAAAATTATTTAACACAACAATTTTATTCTATTGATTTAAATGAATTTAACCCTTCTATATATCGTATGGTGTTGCCTAAAGGCCTGAGCAGAATAGAAACGTAACCGGAATCATTATCGCGCAACCGGAAGAATGAGTTAGAGAAGGATAGATAGATTGTTTTTCCTTCTCTAACTTATTCTGCCAGTTAGGTTTAAGATTACGATTCCGGTTACCCCTACTGAAAATTCCTGTATAAGATCTTGTACAATTTCCTGTACAGGATCAGCAACTGAACTTGTACAAGTTCTGACCAGTTCCTGTACAGGAAAATGCATACGAATTTGGAACATGTATAGTTGTAAACTTTTTTTTTTTAATAAAATTTGAGATTTTGATAATTTTTAACCACTAAGATTCGTAACTCATGCAAAAACTATTGCGCAGCTGTAAAGGTTAAAGTAAACTATTGCGCAGCCTTTGAAGTTTTTCACAGTAAACTTGGTTGTATCTTTTTCTATTGCAACGTTTTGATGCACATAAGTTATATCAAAAAGAGATCGTTTTGTGTATAATTTTTAGAAATGATACACGAAACGGTCTCATTTTTTGATGCAAAAAATTTAATCAATTTATATCAATCATGGCCGAATCGAAAGGACTCAAAATTAAACGAATTTTTTTCAGATATTTTGGTAATAGTACAATTGCGGAGACCATTTCACTATTTAATTTGAAAATGAATATAACAGAAAATCAAAGACAATGTGCAATTCGATAATTAAAAAGTGACAGATTATAAACATAACCTAAAATGCATGAGAAAAAATTTGTCGATAAAATCACTATAGCCGAGCTTTTTAGAAGGTAGATGGCAGTTTTGCTTTTTATAAAAACGATTCAGAAAAAATTTAAAGAAAGAAAATAGATGAGTGCTGCCATCTACCTTCTAAAAAGCTCGGCTATATTGATTTTATCGACAAATTTTTTTCTCATGCATTTTAGGTTATGTTTATAAGCTGTCACTTTTTAATTATCGAATTGCACATTGTCTTTGATTTTCTGTTATTTTCATTTTCAAATTAAATAGTGAAATGCTCTCCGCAATTGTACTATTACCAAAATATCTGAAAAAAATTCGTTTAATTTTTAGTCGATTCAATTCGGCCATGATTGATATAAATTGATTAAATTTTTTGCATCAAAAAATGAGACCGTTTCGTGTATCATTTCTAAAAATGATACACAAAACGATCTCTTTTTGATATAACTTATGTGCATCAAAACGTTGCAAAGATTTGATACAATTTTTGGTCTCAATTTGATACTTTTAGGAAAACTGTGAATTAATTTTTAGTAAAGAAAAACATGAATTAACATGTACAAGAACATGGACGTGTTCATGTACAAGTACTTATACATGAAATTGTACAAGATCATGTACATTTTCTTGCACAAGTATCTTTCTTGTACAAGATCTTGCACCAGATCTTGTACAAAATCTCACACATGAACTTGTTCCAAATTCGTATGCATTTTCCTGTACAGGAACTGGTCAGAACTTGTACAAGTTCAGTTGCTGATCCTGTACAGGAAATTGTACAAGATCTTGTACAGGGATTTTCAGTAGGGATAAATCATTTATTTGATTACAAAATTTTTTTCTCAATGTATATATCTATAGGTATTTAGAAAAAAAAATTTTTTTTTTTATTTTCAGCGTCATTTAAAATTGTTTGCTCCATTATATCAATGTTCTATTTTCTTATAATTAGATCGTTTCGGAAATTATAAAACTGTTCACCAATAAAGAATAAAAACTGCATAACTGACACATTCTTGCATTTAATTGATTGATTGTGAAATTACATTATCAAAATTTTTTATGACTGATTTAAATTGATTTTTAATTCAACTTGTAATTAAAAAAACATTAATTTTACATTTATAGTTATATTATATATATATATATAATATACTCGCACTGAATTGAACAATTTTTTTGTTAAAATTTAACTCTTTCATTTATACGCCTTTCAAATCAGGATGTGTTAATAATTTTTTGCTCAATTTTAATAATAATTATTTTTATTCGTCAACGATTTCAATTTCATAAGTTTCACATAGCTGAACTAAAGTTTAAATGTATAAGGGGCCATTCATTAATTACGTAAGGGTTCTTAGGGGTAGGGGGGGGGTTATAAAATCTCTACATAATCTTACGTCGGGGGGTGGGGGGTAGAAGCTATTCTTACGTAAGATTTTGCCAAGTATTTTCCATTTGTATTCTTTGTAATTAATTTTTTAATTACATTAATATTGTTAAAAACTTACGTAAGAAGGGTGAGGGGGGGGGGGTTCGAAAAATCTTATGTATTCTTACATGGAAGTAGGGGGGGTCAAAATTAGCAAAAATTAATGGTCCCTAATGCGTATTCCGACCAAATTCGAAGTCCATCTGCAATTGCATCTCCGATTTTTTTTAAACCTTTTTTTTTCTTTTAGTACTAATTGAGACAGTTTTCATGATTTTTTTCAAATTTTTTTAGCAAGCCATTTTCGAGATATGAATTTTTCAAAATTTCAGAATTTTTATGACTTAATTTTTGAATGCTCATAACTTCCTTAAAAATGCATCAATTTTAAAAGTTTTTTTTTCAAAATATGTGTTTTCTAAACGTACTTAAAAAAACGAAATTTTTTTTCAAATGATATTACTATTAAATTTTTAAGTTTTAAAGATAAAAAGTCATTTTTCTCAATTGACGTACTGATCGATTTTTTTCAAAATATTTTCAAAAAAACTACTTCCTTTTACGAAAATTTCAAGCCTAGTCTGATCGTAGGCAAACAATTTTTACAGTATTTTCGGAATTTTATTTTAAATTTTTGAATTTTTTAAAAATGTTTTTGCTTTTTTTTTATACTATGTACTTTTATGTATTTTGATGCGCTGATTACGAAAATCATAATGACAATAACCGAAAATTTTATTTTTATGGTGAAAACGATAAAAATGTCCTAAAATTTATGGCTTTATTCGTTTATTGGGCAAAATATTCAAAATTAAAAAAAAAACTTTTAGATAAAAATTATAGAAACTACTAAAAGTAATTGAAACTACATAAATGATAAAAAAAAAAAATTTATATATTTGAAAATACAAATTTCCGTTTCTGTTTTGTCATTATTTTTAGTTATAACAATAACAATTTATTATATTCTATTTGATATATATTCAAAAAATTAATTTGAATGAATTTTCTGCAATTCAATTAAAAAAAACATTTTGTAAACAATTTTTTGGTTTCGAACTGTAAATTAATTAATTAAAAAATATAATGTCAGTTACAAAATGCAAAATTTTCTTTTAGAATTTTTTTCAATTGTACATTGTTTAGAGTTAATTACATAATGATAATAAATACTATTGATTCTTAAAAAATATTCATCTACCCTTTTTAATATTAAAATTTAAATATAAAAATTTGAAATTATTTACGGAAGTTTACTATATATGAAATACATACATTGCAAATAATAATTACAATCTTCAGGTCGTTCACATAACAAATTGTGCAAATTGTAAGAAGAGGTTAAGTTATTTTAAAATCACTAAATGTATAAATTATATATAAAAATGAATTTAACAATATTGTGAAATATTCACCACATTTAAAATGTGAAATTATATATTATAATCAATTTAGAATGGTAGAAGGTTTTACAATTTGCAACACAATATGCATAACATGCATTTGGTGCAGTCTCTTATTTTCATTTTGGTAAAAAAAAAAAAAATAATAATTTTCATACAATTAATAATAAACGTATATTTTATAATCAATTTTAATAAAATATTATTTATTATTTTAGTTTTCCAAGGATCATAAATAATTTACAAAGAACAAATTCCAGTGAATTATGTTTTCAAAAAATGAAATGTCATCAGGAAGAAGTATCAAAAATTTTAAAACGTCAATCAAGAGACAATTTAAAATCTTCTTCTCGTAGTGAACATTTGAAAAATTGTAAAAAAAATCATCACAATAAAAAATTATCCGAGACGAATGAATATTTAAAAAAATTATCAAATAATAATAATAGTCAAATAAATGACATGAAGACAAATAGAACAACAAGTATTTGTGAAAGTAAAAATTTTAAAAATTCCAAAGAGAATTTTATTTGTGAAACTAAAAATTTTAAAAATTCCAATGAAAATTTTTATTGTGAAACGAAAAATTTTAAAAATTCTAATGAGAATTTTATTTGTGATCATAGTAGAGAATTAAATTTGAAAAATAATTCTCAAAAAAAATATAAATTACATTTGAAATTGATAAAACATTCCAATAATTCAAAAGAAAGATTATTACACTTAAAATGTAAATGTCAAAATGAATTTGTAAAATCTTTTTCTTCGACTAATTTAAATGATTTTAATTTGAAAACAAATCAACAAATGTACTAAATAAATATTGAGTAATATATTTATTTTTTTATTTCAAAAGCATAATATTGTATTATTCAAATTCGTTATTTTAGTTGCTAATTAAATTCTAAGTCTTTGAATTAATGATAATTTAATAATAATTTATAATAATGAAATCGATAGTCTAGATTGTTCCGCCTTTTCGATGGAATAAAATACTTATTATTATTATTATTTTAACAATATTTAAAAAATTATTACATATTTCTAATTATTATTAATTTTTATTATCAAATTAATTTTATTTCCGAGTTATACATGTGTGTAGGTTAAAATGCCTATCTGTAGGAGGTTAGTCGATAAAGAAGAAATTTTCACAGTTTAAAATTCACTGAAATTTAAAAAAATTTTTTTTTTTATAAATTACACTGGGAAAAAAATTGTTTTTAATAAATTACATTAAATTAAAATTAATAAAATAAAAATTTTTTAGTATAAATTTAAAAAAAAAAAAATAATGAAATTTTATCAAATGACGAACGTTTTTTATTTACTTTGACAAGTGTCACGTTATAAAATACTTTTTTTTTCTATTTATTAATAAATATGTATTTTAATTTCGCAAAATTATATTAATTTTGATGTTTTTTTTAATGCAAACAATTTTAAATTTATAAATTATTTATCCACATGGAAGGAATAAATAAATTGTAACAATCTTCAATAAGTTTAAAATCATGATTGAATGGATTGGAATAATTTGTTGCAGTTCCCTTATTTCTTGCGTGTGCTCTCTATTAACTACATCTATTGTAAGTGAATTTTTTAAATATTTATAAATATTATTTGGAATTTTTTTTTTAAATATTTATTTTTAGGTTACATAATTATTTTCGTGGCACATGAGTTTTCCAAATAAAAAAAAAATCAATGGTTAGAATTTTCATTTTAAAGAATTTTATTAAATATAATTTTCTTTTTTTGACGAATTTTCATTTTTCGAATTAGCATTTGATAGAATTTCTTCTTAAACGAATTTTTCAAGTAACCATTTCAATTTAAAATTTTTAGGTACCAAATTTTTTTTTGCAAATAAAAATTCGGAAAAATGAAGTTTTTTTTTTAAATAAAAAATTGGGTAAAGAGAAATTTCTGTAAAATAAAAATTCGATACCTAAAAATTTTGTTAAGTAAAAATTCATTTAAAAAAAATTTCTTTAAAACATTAATATTCGAAAAATGAAAATTTCTTTAAAAAATAATTATAATAAAATATCATTAAAATGAAAATTATAACCATTAATTTTTATGGAAAATTTATATGCGACTCTTATTTTCTATAAATTGTTATAAAAAATGTATGAAAAAAAAAAAATTCTTATTAAATTTTTCAGTGTCTAACTGTAACTGGAGGAAAATTACGAAGGAAATCAAAAAATCTTGCTAATGAAAAAAGTCAAGATGTCATTCTAAATAGTTCACGTGTCTCTAACACATTGAAAACGAATAAACTCGATAATATTTCTCGACAAACGAGTCAATCACCTATTGTGTCTTCACGTAAACAGAGTTTTGAAAAAAACCAATCATCATCAGAATTTCAACAAAAAAGTGTTGAATATTTAAAGAAAATGGAAAATACATCAAAAAAAGATTTTTGTGATAATACAACGTGTAAATATTCAACAACAGCAATTTCTGTTTGTTGTAATATTCCCACAGAAGCTGAAATTCAAAAAATAATTGACGAATTTAATACTCTATTTCGTCAATATAATGAAATAATTTCAAAAAATCCAAAACAAGATATTAAAAATACACAGTCGTCAATGAAATTTCATACAAATAAAATAGATCAAATAAATGTTGGTGTCATGACTGATGAACATGAAAATCGAGAAATTATTAGTTATAAATCACATTCAAAAATTCGTAAATGCAAATGCACAATAAAAAGACATTCAAGCAATCAAAGTGTTAAAACAAGAAAAAGTTGTATTTGTAATTTTAGAAAAAGTAAAAGTGACATGTCAATGAGAAAAGCACCAAGTTTAAAAAGTATTAATAATTCAAATTATTTTGTAAAATCACCAATGTATTCGAAGCAACATATTAATTCAAAGCCAAATTGGATATCAAAAACAATGAAAAAATTTAAGTCCAAAGATGATCGAAAATAAAAATTTTCATTAAATGCAAATTTTCATAGAATAAATCTTGTTTGTTTATTCAAATTTTTAATATTTTTTGTATACAAATTTTTAGAACTTATTGGAACGCATATGATTATGTTTTAAAAATTATTAGTTAGAATTTTCATTTTATAGAATTTTATTTATTTGTCATAATTATTTTTGAGCCGAATTTTTATTTGTTCGAATTAGTAAATTTTTCCGAATTTTCATCAAAATGATTTTCTATATTACAGAATTTTAATAAATAACCAAAAATTCGCTTCACAGAAATTGTTATTTGTTCGAATTTTTATTTGCTCGAATTTTCATTTTAACATAATAGGCATTTTAAAGAATTTTTATTGGGTAGAATTTTCATTTTATTCATTCAAATGAATTTTCATTTGTTCGAATTATTATTTGATATAATTTCCATAAAACTGATTTTTCTGCAGAATTTTTACTTAACCGAAAAATTATTTAACAGAATTTCTAATTGATGGAATTTTCATTTGTCCGAAATTGCAAATGGCCGAACAAACAATCGACAGAATGATTTCAGCGCGATTTTTAAAATCAACCAATCAAAAATTATCCATAAAATTGTGATTGGTTGATTTTAAAAATCGCGCCGAAATCTTTCTCTTGATTGTTTGTTCGGTCATATGCAATTTCGGACAAATAAAAATTCCACATCAATTAGAAATTCTTTTAAATAATTTTTCGGTTAAGTAAAAATTCTGCAGAAAAATCAGTTTTATGGAAATTATATCAAATAATAATTCGAACAAATGAAAATTCCGTTAAGTAAATTTTCGGTTATATAAAAATTCTGTAATATAGAAAATCGGTTTCATGGAAAATTCTACAAAATACTAATTCGAACAAATAAAAATTTGGCTCAAAAATAATTATGACAAATGAAATTGCATAAAATGTAAATTTTAACTAATGATTTTTAGAATATATAATCATGCGTCCTGAAACTTATTTTAATTATTATTTTTATTACTTAACCCAGTACAAGTCGTAATTGAGAGAATAAAATTTTTCGTTCAAATAAACTAAATAGTATTTATAAAATTGAAAAAAAGCCACAGTATATTATATTTAAACATATTCTTTCGATCCCACATATATTGCGAGTTATAATAATTCTCCGCGGGAACTCCAAATTATATGAAGAGGAACTCCCAAGAAGTCCCCATGACACTACACACACGTGAAAAGTACATTCAATATTCCAATTCATATAATCGGCACAACCACAAAAAATAAACATAATTCTATCAAAAATTTCTTTCTTAAAATTTTGAATGTAAAGACTTATTTATATATATAAATCAGAAAATATTTCATTGAAGTCAAGAAACGTTTTGTTACAATAGTAAAATAAAAAGGAAAAAAAAAAAAAATATATATATATATATATATATATGTATATATATATATATAGTTTATTTAAAGTAAATAAAATATTTTTCAAAGTTATATAATAATAAGTCCAAATCAAACATTATTTTTTCAAACAAAATTGAAATAATTTTTCTACCATTATTAAACCATTTAATTAATATACGGGTGCATGAATTTTCCATAAAAATCATTAATTAAAATTTTCATTTCAAAGAATTTTATTAGATATAATTATTTTTTAGACGAATTTTCATTTTTTTTTTTAAATTAAAAGTTGATCGAATTTCTCTTTACCTAACTTTTCATTTAAAAATTTCTAATTTATCTGAATATTAATTTAGCAGAATTCTCATTCGACGCGAATCAGAGTCAAATTTCTATCAAATGTAACAATTTGTGCAAATGAAGATTTGGTGAATTGGAAATTGTGACAAGTTCGAATCATTTAAATTTCTATTGAATGAAAATTCTTCTAAATTAATATTCTCCTAATTATAAATTTTTTAAATAAAAAGTTGGGTATAGAGAAATTTTGTAAAATAAAAATTCTGTTAAACAAACACATTAATGATGTTGAAAATATTCACTTTCTTTTTTATTTACAGTTTTTTACAGATTTTATTACAGATTTTTAAATAAAATTTTTTTTTAAATAAAAATAATTTTGGAAGAGTTAAAGTTGAAATTTTTAAAAATAATTGAATTTCAAAAGATTTTGTTAATTTTCAGACAATAGCTGACAATAGTTAAATTTTACAGAACTAAAAATAATTTATCAAATAATTTTAGATAACATTTTTTAAAAGTAATTGAATTTTCAAAGATTTACAATTTTGATTTTTGAAATTAACTGAACTTCAAGTGATTTTTAATTTTGAATTTTTGATGATTTCTGTTACTAAAAAAATTATTAGAAATTGCAGACAAAAATACAATAATTTGCAAACTTTTTAAATAAAAAAAAAAAAAATGGTTTCAGATAGTTGAATTTTCGAAGAATATTATAAAAATCATTTAAAATAATTGAAATTTTTGCAAATAATTAAATTTCAAGTGATTTTGAATTAAAAATTTTTGTCAATTTTATTTGCTATGTAATTATTTTTTTAAAATTATAAACAATTATTAAATTTCATACAAATTTTAATTGAAAAATAGTTTAAAATAATTGAATTTGTGAGGAATTTCATTTAAAATTATTAAAAATAATTAATTTAGTGAAGAATTTTAGTTGATAATTTGTTAAATAATTGAAATAAAGAAGATCTGAAGAAGATCTGCATTGTATACCAAAAATAGGTATTTTGTTTAAAATTTGTTTAAAAAATGTAAAAAAAAGTCGAAAAAGTCGTTTAATTCGAGACCTGAAATTTAATTTCCATTCAATCTGTTTCTAAGCCGCAATAGGATTGTTTCAGAATGAAATTTCAAAATTCAAAAGAATTAATATTTCAACTTCATAATGAAACGGATTGATTCGGAAAAAATATTTTTAGTTACATTAAAATTTGGATTCGAATCGAAACTGATTGGCTCGAAAAAAAATTTTGTAATGTCTCGGAATAATACTTATTAAAACTACATGATTGAATATTCCAAAACTTTCGTCAGGATTTTAATTTGAACTACAAAAATATAATACGCAATACTTTTTCAAATTTCAATCAAAATCTGATGGGGGGAAAATAGCAATCATAAATGTCTCTATATATTATATTATTCGTATATTGTATAAGCATTTTACACGCATAAATAAATTCAGACTATATTCTTTTCTATATTCGTAATACTTAAAAATTTTGAAAATTTACATTTAAGTTTTCCCCGCGAGACGATCTAAATGTCATATCCACGCATTGAATCTAAAGTTAAGAATTTTTAAACTTGAGACGTTGACAAAAATCCATAAAATTTGAAAATATATCTGAATGAATTGATCCACGTTTATATCTTGAAAATAATATATATAATATATAAGAAAGACCAGCGCTTTTCTCGAATATATATATAAAATAACGTTGCGGTTTTTGTTGCATTGAGAATCTTAAATTTCATTCAAGACACGTATCGTGTCATTAATAATATCAATGACACAAGGTGGTTAGAGAAATAAATCAGCGAGGAAGATTACTAAAGGTAACACACAGTCACTGGAGGTGGTCTACCACAATACAAAAGGGACAATATAGAAGTGGTTTCATCCCAATTCATATATGCTCAGTTCGATTTGCCGTATACTCATAATAATTCTGAATAATAATAATAATAATAATAATCACATTGCATCACAGATGCGAAACCTATCTTTCCAAATTTCATTGATCTTATTGTTATATCCATATTATTAGCATCGACGATGGCATTCTTGTCATTAGTATTCATATACCTTTGGGGAAATCTGATCCCCTGTTGAGAAGTATATATATGCAGGTCTCAGGGTGACTTCCTGGGTCATAATATCGGTTAGTTGGTCCCCAGTTACCTGTCAACAAATCATGACCGATATATTCCCTTCAATAAAACTACTCTAATGACGGATCATATAAAGATCAGTGCGAACAATATTTAAGGATTTTTTTTTCAAATAAACCTCTAAATTTCAATTTGTAGAATTTTTATTTTTTCATCTAATACATTGATATTTTACTATATAACGAATTGTAGGAGATTTATCAACTCTTACTATAATAACGAATTAGTATAGAATTATGCAAAAAAATGTCATTAATTAAAATTAGTAAGAATTTTAATTATGGCATGTTTTTGCATAATTCAGTACTAATTCATTATAGTAAAAGTTAAGGAGAGTCACGGAAACGAAACAACACGTTAAATCCAAGTGTTGGATAAAGGATCCTCATACACAGCACCGAAACTTTCTTAAAAATTTATTAAAGATTTATTTGCAAACTTTGCAGTATATTTAATTGCAAAGTTTAGTGAAAATTGTCTAAAGGTCCCACTTCAATAAATGAGACGCATGAATTTTCTCCAAATTTCAAATGGCCTAACACTTAATTGACCTAAATTCAATTGGCCTAAAAGTCGTATAGACTAACTATTACTTGGCCTAATCTGTATATATGACTTAATTCTTAATTAACATAATATTTATCTGCCCTAAATCTCACTTGGCCTAAATTTTTTGTAACTTAATACTTTTTTAGACTTATTTACTTGGCCTAAACATTATATTTACCACACAGAAAATTAAAAGGCATTAAAATAAGCTGCAACGCTTATTATTTTAATCCAATTTTGCTTATTATAATCCATTTTGGTATTAAAATAATAAGCGTTGCAGCTTATTTTAATGCCTTTTAATTTTCTGTGCACACTGAGAAAAAAATGCTGTTGAATCAATGATATATGGATTTGATTCTATGAATATAGTGTCATACCATTATATTATATATAAATAAAATTTTAGAAAAAGGGAAAAAAATCTTTTTATAGTTACATTTAAAAATCTATTATACAGATTGCCCGCAATGACGCCATTTATTACAACAAAAGTACACGATTAATAAATTAAAAGTTTAGTTAATTGAAATAATAAGTCATGTCATTATTTTGATGACAATAGTTAAGAATGTTTTAATAAGTTGGGTATCAATGTCTCAAATGCATAGTGTCATGATTTCTATAGCATCTGCTATAGGCAGCCCGCGATGACGCCATTCATTGAAATGAAACGAAAGTATATGCTTTCATTTCTAAGATATCACTTGTTTGAAGCAAAGAAGTTTTCTGTTGATTCAAAGTTACATACATTTTATTCAAATTTACCTATTAGATGCTTCAAATAAAAAATATCAAAGAAACAATAAATTATTCTGTTGTAGTATATAGATTAACTATAGAAACAATTAAGGCAATATCAATTCAAACAGTTTCATTTATTGATTTTAAGTAACATACTTTTCAATTAATAGAACTGTTATTGAATCAATGACGGAAAATTCAATAGCATCGGCACTATTGAATCAATAGTAATTTTTTCTCAGTGCATAATTCTCATTTGAAATCATTTTCAGCTGGCACAATTATTGTTTGGACTAAACAAAATGTATGGCGCACTTTTTGATTGGTCCAGCGGATGCTGAGCTAGGTCAAAATGAATTTTGTGATTTTTTGTAATTTCAAATTAATTGCTCTGCACTGAAAAAAATAGTAGGTTTTACTACTTTTTAACTTCTCTGAGTACACTGAAAAAAAAGTCTGGTTAAAATAACCAGAATTCTGGTTAATCTAACCAGAATAAAAAGTTATATATACCCTTACTACTTTTTCTGGTTAAAAGTACTAGAAAATTTGGTTAAAAAATTCTGGTTAATTTTACCAGAATTTCAAGTTAATCTTACTAGAATTTCAAGTTAATCTTACTAGAATTTTTCTAGTTAAAAATTTTTGGTAAAAAAATTTCTGGTTGATCTTACCAGAAATTCTAGTTAATCCGAGAATTAATTAAATTTATTATTATTATATTATATTATAAAATATGTATTAAAAAAATTTGTATTATGTACATATAAATGCAATCAAATAATAACATCTTTACACTGCAATTCTCTTAATAATGTTTATTTAAATATGATTATTCAGAACTAAAATTCTGATAAAACGTGTCGAGCACGTTTTCAACATAACCTTCAAACTATTTTCCACACGAACGGGTTTGCCGTTCGTCAACAATTTTTTCACTTATATTATAAAATTAATTAACCAACCTTTAAACAGATCTTTTAATTCTCCCAAACCCCAATTTTCCAGAGCTTGGTTAACTTTTTCATCCATTCTTGCGATCCGCACGATAAACTATTCGAAAAAGAACAACAGACGCTATGCAGTGTCCGCGAACGCGCGTTTTTAACCAGAATTATTTTAACCAGAATAATTTAACCATACTTATTTAACTAGAACTGTTTAGTCTTTTTAACTATATTTTCTTGTTAAAATAACTAGAAATTTTTTAACCAAACGCATCTAGTAACTTTAACCAGAACTTTTTTTTCAGTGTAGTACAATATAGGTCCTCAACTGAATTTAAACGGTTCTATTAACTACCTCTATATAAAAATAGTTAAACCAGTTAAAAATGTAATTGGTAGAATGACATTTTGTGATTGTATTAACTCAATTTCAAAATGTTAAAACAACTCAAGATGTAAGTAGTAGATTTTACTACTTAAAGTGGTTCAATAGCCTTTAAAAACATTTTTTTGGTACATTTAATAAATCTTTTGCAATTCAAACTACTACTTTAAGTAGTAGACGTAAAATCAACTCTTACTTATTAACTTCTTAAAAATAGTTACATTAACTACATGAACATGATTATAGATTAACTAAAAAAGTAGTTATTTTAACTACTTTCTTGTCAACTACCCAATGGTAGTTGAATTTCGCGGCAACATTTTTTTCAGCGTGAAAATAGTGTTAGAGTAATAACAAACCCGGAAGTTGTCTACAAAAAATGTATGGCGCACTTTTTGATTGGTCCATCGGATGCTGAGCTAGGTCAAACTAAATTTTAGGATTTTTTGAACGTCCAAAAGAAGTCCGCAAAATATATCCTCAGGACGTCTTTTGAGCAAGTGTGTCCGCTATGGGGATATAGTAAATTTAGGTCAAATGAAAATTAGGACAAATGACGTTTAGTACAAATGAGGAGTAGTTTGAATGAAGATTAGGCCAAATAAGAATTAGGTCATATGCAAATTAGGCCAGTAAATAAATGTTTCGCTTAAAAAATTTAAATTTTCAGTCAATTCTAATTAGTCAATGTTGTTTAAATATGGCTGCAAGTTTAGGTGATTGTGTTCTTTTCATGTGTAATGCTGATTAAAAATATTCACATAATACATATAAATATTTATATATATTTTTTTTCTTATTATTAATTTCGTTGTATAAATTCCTAACCTTAAAAATTGTACCAATTAAACTAACTTTGTTTCCTTGTGCTGAAAAATCCTTTCGTATAATTTTTCATTTTGAATTTCTTCTAATTGCCACACAAATATCGTAAATCATTTGTGAACTTTTGAAGATTTTTAGTTAACGCCCAGCCAATTCGAGAGGAGTTCTATATGATAGATTCGGGATGAGCATATATATATATATATATATATATATATATATATATATATATATATATATATATGATATTGCGGTCACTTGTCGTTCCCTATTGAATTCAACCAGGACTTCTTTATATGACATATACGTGAAAAAGAAAAATGTGATGGTTTCCTCCTACTGTTACGCTATTTTTTCGACATAAAGGGCATATCTCTTGAATTCCTTAATTTATAGGCGTCGCATTGTCACCTATATGTAAGGCCACACAGACTTTTATGAACTCCCACGATATTCACTCAATAATCAATAACCGCCTTTTTTCAATTTATAAATATATTTCGCGTTATTGATTCCAATGCAATTTTTCTAACCCTCCCTCATTGAAAAAAAACATAATTTATTGTTATATATTTTTATATACATGAGATAAACGTCACGAATATGTTTTTTTCTTATATTATCCATAATACATTTATGTAGTTTTATTTTTGATTTTAGCGTGTGAAAATATCATAACATGAGAATATTTGGAATATAAAAAATGTGTCACCATTTTATTTATCTATATAAGTATATATATCTACAACAAATTGTTGTTCAATTTGACGAATTAATTTATTTAAAAATTAATATACAATTAATATACAATAATCATAATGTATCTTTATAGTACTCTGTACGAATGGGCTTTGCCCGTATATTTTCAATAAATAAATAAATAAATAAATAAAAAATTAAAATTAAGCGTCAATTTATTTATTTTTAATAAGTTTAATAAACTTTTTCGAATATTATATACTATTTGCTGTGAATGCAAATTAAATTAAATTTATACCCTCACAACAAAAGGATATTCAGGATATCCTTGGGACGTCCTGGGGATATCGATTTGTTTTCGGCGGTTTGGATATCCCTAGGATATCTTAGAGATGTCCATGGATATCCAGAGGATATCTTAAGGATATCCGAATCACCAAAAGCAAATGGATATCCCCAGGACGTCCCAGGGATATCCTGAATATCCTTGTGTTGTGAGGGATGTAACGGAGAATCGTAATTCAAGTTCAGGGCTGGCAAAGATATAAGTTTTATCATAGTAATAATTTCTTTTTTAATTCGTTTCATATTGTATACATTCGTGTGTACAATTATCAAATGCAGACTTTATATTTCCCAATTTTGAAAGTAAAGATATATGCTTCTTATTTATTTCAAGATATGAATTATTAATTTTTTTCTGTAAATATAACGAATTTTCCAATCGAAAGATCTGTTCATTTAAAATACAAATATCTAGAAAGAATTCAGCCGTTCTTTTCTTATCATTTAGACAATCATCTGTAGTCTCGTAAAAAGAATGATTTTTGAAGCAACTGTCATTACTTTCAGGAAATTCTGAATTTAAAGACAATAAAATTTCCGCTCCCATCTAAAAATAGAGAAATATTAATATCTTATTATTAAAAATTATTTATATGAGAAAATTTGAGAAAATAAAAGAATTAATATTTGACAATACTTTTATGTAAAAAAATTAATAATTTAATTACGTTCAACTAACAATATGTCCCTAATATGAATTTAAATTCAATTTCTTATATATTATTATATACTACCTGAATGACAATAGTTAATTGACTGTTCTTTATAATATTCCTCATACTTTCATCTGCAGTTTGAATCAAGGATTTATTGTGATTATCAATTAATTCTAATACATTACGATAAGCATCATTTCTGCAGAAACTTGTATCACTACAATTTTCCGTTTGTTTTATTATCTGTAAAAAATGTTCAAATTAATTTAAAAAAAGGATACATTTAAAAATTACAGCAATTTTACAATAATAATAATAATAATAATAATAATAATAATAAAAAATACTCACCTGAACTTCAGAGTTTTTCGAAAATGCTAAAATTATCATTTCTTGTGTCAACTCTTTTGCTAAATTATGCAATTTATCATCTGTATAATTAAATTCCTGTTTCAGGTATGCATTTAAATTTTCATAACTTATTTTTACCATATTTCGCAAATTGCTCAAATTAACAAGTTTTTCGTTCTCAATTATTTTATTCGATAAAATAAAATGTATCTATATAAATATAATGATGAATTAAATTTTGTTTAATTGAATAAAGGCAAGTATTTATCAAATATTATAAGTACAATATTAAATTATCATATAGGGTAAGTGTACCAATTACGGCGAGTGCACCAATTACGACGCGTTTATAAAAAATAACTATTATTACTATTATATTTAATATAACCTGTTGCCAAATGATTAAAAAAATTATTCCAATCTTTTTTTGATACAATTGACGACCCCGATTCTATAAGGAGACTTACACTTAAGGCAGCCGCCTTGCGACCAGTCAGGTGGTCCAAAAATGGAAAAAAATAAAATTCAAATTTTTTAAAAACGCTATTCTGTAGAAAATGAAAATCCGCACCTTTTTTTCCTTTGAGATTTTTATATAAAACGAATATTAAAATTAATAGAGGTAAAAAACGTAGAAAATTTTTTTACGATAATTTAATGGACTTTTAAAACATAACTCGTCGTAATTTTGCCAAATATTAATGGATTTTTTTGAAATTTGGTGCATTTTATTCATTTTATACTATTAAAGACGACAATCATAAAAAAAAATCAAGGAAATTGTTATTATTTAATATTAAATAAGAATAAAGTTTTAATTTTGAAAATATGTGTTTTACAACCTTCTACGGAAAAAGTTATCGAGGGAATTTTCATTTTAGAAAAACTTCTCGCGACAAAGTTTTTCCTTACATATTAAAGAAGTTTTTCCAAAAGTTTGGAATTAATTCTATAAAAAATAAAGAAGTTATAAGGAAAATAGTGAAAAACTATTTCTCCTTATACTGCAGCAGTAGCCATGACACCTTACGGATTAGTTTCTTCAGGGGCGTTCTAATTATATAATTCGCCCTACACTCGAACATCAAAAAATAATTATTTATTTGTTATAAAAAATATATTTCTTAAATTAAATAATAAATTATTATTTCATATTGTATAAGAAAATTATTATTTTTCCTATTCAAAATGTATAAATACTGATTTCAAATATAATTATAATTCTTAATATGTATTTTGGATATATTTTTGTTTATTAACAGAAATAGAATACAAAAATATTTCATTATTAGTAAAATCAAAAATTTGTATGCCAAATTATTTAGCATGATTGAGTGTAGGGTAAATTATATAATAAGAACGCCCCTGAAGAAACCAAGCCGTGAGGTGTCATGGCTACTGCTGCAGTATAAGGAAAAATAGTTTTTCACTATTTTCCTTATAACTTCTTTATTTTTATAGAATTAATTCCAATCTTTTAGAAAAACTTCTTTAATATGTAAGGAAAAACTTTGTCGCGAGAAGTTTTTCCAGAATGAAAATTCCCTCGATAACTTTTTCAGTAGAAGGTTGAAAAACACATATTTTCAAAATCAAAAATTTTATTATTGTTTAGTATTAAATAATAACAATTTTCTTGATTTTTTTTATAATTGTCGTCTTTAATAGTATAAACTGAATAAAATGCAACAAATTTAAAAAAAATCCATTAATATTTGGCAAAATTACAACGAGTTATGTTTTAAAAGTCCATTAAATTATAGTAAAAAAATTTTCTACGTTTTTTACCTCTATTAATTTTAATATTCGTTTTATAAAAAAATCTCAAAGGAAAAAAAGGTGTGGATTTTCATTTCCTACAGGATAGTGTTTTTAAAAAATTTGAATTTTATTTTTTTCCATTTTTGGACCAGCTGACTGGTCGCAAGGCGGCTGCTTCAAACGTAAGTCTCACAGTAAACTTGGTTGTATCTTTTTCTATTGCAACGTTTTGATGCACATAAGTTATATCAAAAAGAGATCGTTTTGTGTATCATTTTTAGAAATCATACACGCAACGGTATTATTTTTTGATGCAAAAAATTTAATCAATTTATATCAATCATGGCCGAATTGAATCGACTCAAAATTAAACGTATTTTTTTCAGATATTTTGGTAATAGTACAATTGCGGAGACCATTTCACTATTTAATTTGAAAATGAAAATAACAGAAAATCAAAGACAATGTGCAATTCGATAATTAAAAAGTGACAGCTTATAAACATAACCTAAAATGCATGAGAAAAAATTTGTCGATAAAATCAATATAGCCGAGCTTTTTAGAAGGTAGATGGCAGCACTCATCTTTTTTCTTTATTTAAATTTTTTCTGAATCGTTTTTATAAAAAGCAAATCTCTTACTTGTTAAACGGAAATATTGGTCAAAAAGATGTATTATGTTATCAAAAAAAGTAATATTGTAATTAATAATATTGGTTATAATATAAATATTTTTTTTAATCAAAAATATTGGTGAAATAAATTGATTTTTTAATCAAAAATATTGGTGAAAAAAATTAATTTTTTTATCAAAGAAAAGGTGAAAAATATTAATTTTTAACTGAAACATTGGTGAAAAATATTTATTATTTGATCAAAAATATTTGTGAAAAAATTAATTTTTTATTAAAAATATTGCAAAAAATAATGAATTATTTTATTAAAAATATTGTTGAAAATAATTAATTTCTGATTTAAACCAATATTATTGATTACAATATTACTTTTTTGTAACATAATACATCTTTTTGACCAATATTTCCGTTTAGCAAGTAAGAGTTTTGCTTTTTATAAAAACGATTCAGAAAAAATTTAAAGAAAGAAAAAAGATGAGTGCTGCCATCTACCTTCTAAAAAGCTCGGCTATATTGATTTTATCGACAAATTTTTTCTCACGCATTTTAGGTTATGTTTATAAGCTGTCACTTTTTAATTATCGAATTGCACATTGTCTTCGATTTTCTGTTATTTTCATTTTCAAATTAAATAGTGAAATGGTCTCCGCAATTGTACTATTACCAAAATATCTGAAAAAAATTCGTTTAATTTTGAGTCGATTCAATTCGGCCATGATTGATATAAATTGATTAAATTTTTTGCATCAAAAAATGAGACCGATTCGTGTATCATTTCTAAAAATGATACACAAAACGATCTCTTTTTGATATAACTTATGTGCATCAAAACTTTGCAAAGATTTGATGCAATTTTTGGTCTCAATTTGATACTTTTTGGAAAACTGTGCTCCTTATAGAATCGGGGTCCTCAATTACTTATAAAGATGCACATTTAAACAATTATTAATTTAATTATTTGAGAACAAATTTTTTTCCGCGCCGCAATTGAAACATTTTTAAGATTTCCATTGGCTCCAATTTCGGCGGGCAAAGTATCTTCAAAATACACGTAATTTTGTTCACCGAAATTGATACAAACGCGCCGCAATAGAAAATTACGGTATTACTTTTAATTTCTCATATTTGTTTAAATAATCGATTTTTATAAAATTAAACATTTTTTTAATACCTAAATAATATAAGTTTTTAGATTAATAAGTCTTAAATTCACTTTATACAATAGAAATGTCGAATTTTCTGTTTCAAATATGTTTTGACCCGAATCGCACCGTAATTAGTGCATTTACCCTAAATGCAAATAGAGACGAGTGGACTGCAATGGAACAATGTTTTTTCAAAGCAAAAGTAATATTTTAATTAAAAAAAAATTTATAGCACATTTTTGTATCTGTATCAAAAGTTAAACATTATTTCAAATATAATACATAAAACGAAACAAGTATTTCAATACTTAATAATATTTTACAATAATATATTCCTAAGACTGTTATTTACACACTTCATCAGTACTTCTGTCAATCAAACGTTATACTCTAAAAAAAAAAAGTCGCGAAAGTTTATAAAATTTCATTTATATTTAGAGTTTGGTAGAGGTTTCTAAAGTAATTTTTAAGAAAATTAAAATGATAAAAAATGTTCTCCACTGTCTTTTAAAATTTTTTTAAATATTATTATACTCACTTGAAAAACACAAAACATGAAAATAGTTAATGGAAATAAAAACTTCATCGTTTTGTGTGAAAAATAAATTTAAAAAATTGTTTAAATTATTTCTTATTTTTATATAAATTCTTTTGTAACCTACATTTTATACTTATGGAATAATTTAATAATTATAAATCTTAGACAGAATTTAATTTATATTTGACAAACAATTTAATACAAAATTTATATAATTCTTGATTCAAAAATCAATGACATAAAAAAAAATTTATAAACGTATTTTAACAGTATATTTTTATTAGAAAAATACCAATTACAGTTATAAGTATTTTAAATTTTATTTAATTAGATTAAATTTATTACATTTGAATAAACTGTAGTTTTTTGTATTGCATATGTATATATGTTTGTATGTATTATGTATTACCTAATTAAGTATATATCCATGAATTTATCTGTTTAAACAGTTGTCATAAATGTCCTAAATAATTATAATGCCTATGGAGAATACCGGGACGTAATTGTATATTTTTATATATAAATTAGACATTATTATCAGAAATTATGCAATTTTGTATCTTCTGCTAAATACCTAGTGATACCTAGGGAATTTTAGGGAATTTCAATTTCTTTGACTTCTTTAATATAATATTTATATTTTAAATAAAATATTTCAATATGGCTTATGAATTTATAAATCCAAAAAAAAAGATTTCTTTCAAACAAAGAAATCGTTCTTTTTAAATCACTTTTTAAATTAAAGATGAAATTTTTTTTTAATTAAAATAATTTTTATTTGCTTTTACGAAAAAAAAATTTTTTTTTAAGTTTTTTACGTGAAAACGATAAACACATTGATTTTAAAATACTTTTTTCTCGAAACACTGACACTTCTTACAAAATCGGGCAAAATACCAAGGATCCTTATCTTATAAATTATCTGAATCCGAAAGATTGTGCTAAACCATACAGAAACGCGATTGCATAAACGAAAAGTAGGAAAGTAATATAATAACAGATTCATTACGTCTTGCCGCCGTCAGATGGCTGATGTATGCATGGAGTATAAAGTCGCAGCAGTTATTATACTACTTTCCTCCTCTTCGTTTTTCAATACTATTTTTGCATGAATTCGCACAATCTTTCGAATTTAGGAAATTTATAAGATAAGGATCCTTGGTGTTTTGGTCGATTTTTTAAAAAGTGTCTGTGTTTCGAGAAAAAAGTATTTTAAAATCAATGTTGTATCATTTTCACGCAAAGTGACGTTTTTATATAGGACGTTAATTAAAGGTTTCTTCTTGCCAAACAATATTTAAAAATTATATTTTAATCAAAATACAAACATATAATATACAATCTTAAAATGAAATAAATATATTTTTGATTAAAAGAAACGTTCTTTGAAACAAAGAATCTTTTTTCTGGGTATATGGGAAGAAAAAAATTTTTTTTTTTAATAAATAACATGTTTTTAATAACATATATTTTTAAATTACACTCAAAACTAATTGATAATATTGTGTTTATGATCAATGCATTCTGATATATTTTAATTACAACATTTTTTGTATTGCTATTACGTAATGGAAATATATAATATCAATCAATTGTACTAGGTAAGATTGCACTTAAATTTCTAATTCATGTGTAAATTTCAAAATTCAATAACTCCTTTTTAGGAGTGGTAGTTACACAATCGAAAGTGCATTTTTTAAATGAAGGTTCTAATCTTCCCAATTTTAGAAGTAAACTGATATGCTGCTTACTCATTTTATTATATGTAATTATCATATTGTTCCTTAAGTTAGGAGAATTTTCCAATGAAAAGGTATGTTCTTTTGTTATACAATTATTCAGAAAGTCTTGAGCTTTCCTTATTTTATCATCCAGACAATCAACTGCTGTCTTATAAGAAGTATGATTTTTTAAGCAACATTCATTATTTTCAAGCATTTCTGAATTTAAAGTCAATAAAATTTTCGCTGCCACCTACACATAAAGAAATATTAATATTATCATTAAGTATTATTATAATAATTATTAATTGTTAGTGTCCGATAAGAAAACTGGAATAGAGTGGAATTAAAATTTTTAGAGATTTTTTCTAAAGTTGAACATTTTTCTATTCCTTTCTTTTTCTAATCCCCTAAAATGGGATAGAATATTGGAAAAATTTATTCTTTTTTATGCCAAAATAAAATTGTATTCCATTAGCTGTTCAATACCATTTTAAAAATCAGCACAGTTTTAATTCTACTTTATACCATTTCACATTTTGTGAAAAATGAATTAAAAGAAATAGAAATTTATAAATTTCTATTTCTTTTAATGGTATAAAATGGAATTAAAACTGTGCTGATTTTTAAAATTGTATTGAAAAGAATTTTCAATTTTTTTTTTTTTTATTGTATTGAAAGAATACAATTTTATTTTGGCATAAAAAGAATAAATTTTTCCAATATTCTATCCCATTTTAGGGAATTAGAAAAAGAAAGGAATAGAAAAATGTTCAACTGTTCCCAATCCGCCAGGGTTCTCTGAAATAAAAAATGATTTCGGGTTAAAATTTTGGAGAAATGATTTTGTTTGCTACAAGGAATCTCGCTGTTCTACTCATTTACCATAACTTAACGCAAAAATAATAAAAATAAAGCAATAAATAGTAAAATAATTTGTTTTATCATAGTTCATTTAGTGGCCACTCGCTCGAATTGGCGCTGTTTACTGGAGCACTGATACACTCAAGCAACGTCTGTGTATGCGCCGCCATAATTCTTTTCATTTTCGTTTAAAAATCACACTTTTAAAACTTCATTTTTTAATAATTTAACGCAAAATTATGTATTTTTCGGAGAAAAGCGAGATTCCTTGTAACCTAATCTATGGTCTCTCAAAATTTTAGACAAAAATCTTTTTTCATTTTAGAGTAAGATGTATACTACCAAAACACATTTTCCCATACTAGGTCACGTGGGAGGTTCCCACATACCCTTAAATAGAATTAAATTTTTCAATTCCAGCCTTTTTACCGGGTTACTTTAAATTCAATTTCTTATATTATTATACACTACCTGAGTGAGATTAATTAATTGACTGTTTTTTATTATATTCTCCATATTTTCATCTGCAATTTGAATCAAGGATTTATTGTGATTATCAATCAATTCTAATACAGTTCGATATGCATCATTTCTGCAGAAACTTGTATCACTACAATTTTCCGTTTGATTTATTATCTGTAAAAAATGTTCAAATTATTTTAAAAAAAGGATACATTTAAAAATTACAGCAATTTTACAATAATAATAATAATAAATACTCACCTGTAGTTGAGAGTTTTTCGAAAATGCTAAATTTATCATTGTATCATTTAAACTTTTTATTAAAATACGAAAATCGTTATGTATATAATTTTTCTCTTGATTCAAATGCATCGTTAAATTTTCATGTCTCTCTTTTACCATATTTCGCACATTTCTCAGTTGGACAAATTTTTCGTTTCCAATTATTTCATTTGATAAAATAAAATGTACCTATAAATATGATGAATTAAATTTTGTTTAATTGAAAAAATTGCATATTTCTTGTAATATTATTAATATAAATGTAAATAAAGTATATTTTTTTATTTTTTTAAAAAAATATTAATACTTACTTGGAAAGCACAAATGATAAAAATGGTTAATGGATATAAAAACTTCATTGTCAAGTTTGAAACAAATTCATAAAATTGTATAATTGTACTATATAAATTCTTTTCGAAACATTCGTTTTATATACATGTGCCCAAATTTGATAAAATAACATTTACACAGAATTTACTTTATAGTTGACAAACATTGGCTTTTAACATTTATTATTTAATTTATCTAATTCTTGACTACAAGGTTTATCACAAAAATTTATAAATGTGTTTTTAACAATATATGTTTGTTAGAAAAATTTAATTTAATTAGTTACGTGTATTCGAAATTTTATTTAAATTCGATTAAATATATATATTAGATTTGAATATAATGTATTTTTGTTCTCCATTTAAATGTGTATTTATTTATGTATTATTTACATAATTTTAAAGACGTCAATTTTTAGTAAAAGAAAAAAAAAAGATAAAACATTGCTAAATGCATCTGTTTAAACATATAGTTGTCAGGGCTATCCCAAATATACTATATATCATGATAATAAATTGTAATAAAATTCGCAAAAAAACAATCATTTTTAAACGTAAATAAAAGCAGATTACAATTTGTATAGACTATTAAAATTTAATGATTCTGATTTTAAAAGCAAATTTGTAATATATAAACGAATTTGAAATTTTTTTTGATAATTCAATTAAATTATTCAATTTCTAACAATTTAATGTCGGTGAAGTTTACAAAAAGTTTATGATCAACGATTTAGAAGAAAAAATATCTTTCTGTGCAAATTATTATACTTTTTTGTCTAACAAAATTTTTATAACATTTCTCGATTGAAAATTAAAAAAAAAAAATTAAGTTTTTCATTGCATTAAAATATTAAAATTTCCAAGTGACAATCGTCGGAAATTTTATTTCTGTAAAAAAACCTATAATCTTCTAAAATTTAATTGTTTGAAAAAAAATTTAATTAAAATTATTAAGCACCATTTTATTTATTTTCAATGAGTTTAATAAAATTTTTTAAAAACTTTATAATTAAATACTATTATTTAAAACTTAATTTGAATTTGAATTACAATTTTTTTTTTTAATAAAAATATTATTTATTTTTACTGGAATTCGAGTAGAACGTTCGAAATATGCCATATATATATGTTTATATTTTTCACACCTGCCTCACTCTGCTTTTCTCTATTCTGGTTGTTCCCCGCTATATAACGAAGAAAAGCTATCATTCATTATTTTATATTTATTTTTTAACAAGATTTTGATATGAATCTTAATTTAAAAAATTATTTTTTTATTTTTTTTATTTTATATTGTTCCGACATAATTTTAAGTTAAAAATTATTCTATGTTTATTTTTACTGTATTTTTATCTAAAGTGCGCCATATAATAGAAATAAAATAATATGTACTAGATCAACCAAAAAATTATTTTTCATTTAATATTTAACTGCATATCAAGAATCTACTAATTTTAAATCAAACAAAAGTTATATTTAAATGAAATATATTTTATTAAAACATAAAAAAATGTATTATTGAATATATGGGCAAATCCACGAAATTTTTAACTTTTGTGATTCTTGAATCGAACACTTAAAAATCTGAATTATTTTAAATTAAAACTTTGGGTATCATTTTTTTTTTTTTTTGCTAAATTATATACAAAGGAACATTTATGTACAGTATTAGAACAAAATATTTATTTGACAATTAGTTTTATAAGTTAAAAAGAGGCGCATGATTTTTCCCAAAAATTAAAAAGGTCGAAAATTTAATTGATCGAATTACATTAAGTTTATTTATTTATTTAATTAACGGGACCAGCCCTTTCGTACATAGGTACTCTTAAAACTAAGTATGTTTACAATTTAGTAATATTAAGCTAATTAATTTATAGCTAGGTAGGAACATTATTAATATGATTCAATATTAATCTACGCAATAATAAGGTGAATCTGGAATACCTGTCATCAAAAAAATCAATATCATTTGCAACTAAATTTGCCTCTCTACTAAGCCTAGTAATCAAGGCATTATTACCATAATTACTTCTGTGATAAGTAACAGAAAAAAGAAAATTGTATCTCCTGGACCTTCCAGGAACTGACAAATTAACCATTGAAAGTAGAGCAGGACAATTACTCATACCATTCACAAGTCTATAAAGAAAAATTAAGTCAGCATAAAGAAAACGCGAAGAGATCATAGGCATGTTAAGTATTGAAGTTGATATTTTATTTGAACTAAATTCTAAATGATCGATATTTAAAATCCTCAATATTTTATTCGGTTGATATTTTATTTATTCGAAATTCTAAATGATCGATATTTAAAGTGGCCGATATTTTATTAAGTCAATATTTTATTTTATCGAAATTCTAAATGATAGACATTTATGAAGGTCGACATTTTATTCAGTCGATTTTTTATTCGGTCGAAATTCTAAATAACCGACATTTATGAAGGTCGACATTTTATTTAGTCGATATTTTATTTGATCGAAAATCTAAATGTTCGATATTTAAAGTGGTCGACATTTTATTTAGACGATATTTTATTTGGTCGAAATTCTAAATGATCGACATTTAAAGTGGTCGAAATTTTATTAGTTAGATATTTTGTTTGGTAAATATTCTAAATGAACGACATTTAAAGTGGTCGATATTCTAAATGATAGAAATTTAGAAGCATCGAATTTTATATCTATCGAAATTTAATTTGGTCGATATTTTAAAAGCTCGACACTTTTAAGACGATAAAAATGTGATTTTCGACACAACTTTTTAAAACTATACTTTTTTAATAACATATTTACTAGTATTTTATTATTTTCTTTGGATTATCATGTTACTTATTATTCCTTATTAGTTAGTTACCACTATATGGCCTTAGGTTCGTGTTGTATTGCCGACTTTTCAAATTACACTTCATTGAAATTAATGACAGGGTCTGTGTGACCCAGTATGTGCTCCGAGGGTTAAATATCGATCATTTAGAATTTCGATCAAATAAAATATCGACTAAATAAAATGTCGACTTTCATAACTGTCGTTCTTTTAGAATTTCGACCAAATAAAATATCGACTTAAAGTAATTCGATCAATTAAAATTTCCAACTTTTTAATTTTTGGGAAAAATCATGCGCCTCGTTAAAAAGTGAAAAAATGCTTAAATTTCATTTGAATTTCTTGAAAAAGTTTATATTCTTAACGTTTTTATTTTTGCGGCGTGTAAAATATCACTTCAGCTACTATGGATATATCTAACAGACATATTTTGTCAAAAAAATTTCACTATCCCATTAGTGTGCCACCACTAAGACTAAAAATACGAAGGTTTGAATGAGTGAAAGCACTTTTTAAAAAAATTCAATTGAACGTCTTTTTATGAAAATATCTATTACGGCGTTGGATAAAAATAAATGTTCAATGCATTTCTTAAAAGCTGATGAAAATACAAAAAATTTTAACACCTTCTTCAATGATGTGCCTCTAATTGTATTCCTGTGGCAACAATTTAAAGATGATGAGCTTCATGCTCGCCTTTTCCTGATAGTGACATACATTACAGCCTGTCCTGTCCTAGTATGTACGTCAGTAGTGTCGTAGTCATTTTTTTGGGTCTGTCAGTATATCGATTTAAATTTACGTCTTCCTGTCTTGTGATGTAAATGTCGTTTCCTATGTTAACCTTGTCATCAGCCTGATGGACTTTGGTTTCGCGATCAGGTTTTGGTGAATTTCCCAAGTAACAGTTATTGATATTTTCCGCCAAAGAATCTACTCCTGCTGCCTGACTATGACTGCCTACATAATTAATATAAGTGATAAGAAATAAATATTTACAGTTTTTGTAAAGAAGAAGGGGTTTAATTAAAAAAAGTCAAAAATAGGGGTTTAGCATATGTAAAAAAGTCAAAAATGTATACATAAAATAAAATAAATAAATATTAAAAACAAAATTAATAAAAAGAAGATAAGAAACTATAATTATAAACTTATTTTTATTTGTGAATAAGTTTTATTAAAAGTTTATTTAAAATTGCCGAGATTTCTTTTAACACCTGCAAAGTCTCGTGTTGCATCATCCTCAATTCGTCAATTTCGTGATCTCGATTTTTATTCTATAAAAATAGGAATATTTTATACAATAATTGTTATAGTATAATTGTTCAAAAAGTCGGTTAAACTAGGGTCGATTCGAGAAATGAAAAGCAATATTAAAAAAAGAATTGAACATTTACATATGAAATATGATAAAAAATAATATTAAAAAATGTATTTTATGTTATAATATTATACAAATATGTATATGCATACTGAGGATGATGCTGACGTTGATGCCAATGATGACGATGACGCCAATAATTTTTGCATTTGAATATTTTCACCAATTTTTTTGGTTCTTTTAGCAGTTGGTGTTGAATCACTGCAAGTGCTCTGTAAAAATTTAATTAATGTAGAAAGGCGATTAAAATTTGTTTATTTAATATTAATTTTATGATAGAAGAAATTTAAGGAAGTTCTCTCCCTCCAACGTCAGTCAAATCAATGCCCATTTAAGTTTTCATTTGTATCACGTAGTACTAGCTCAACGCTTGGCAACGTTGGATTATACTTCCCCCGTTCCGTTTCGTGTCGCCTGCTATTGTTTGATTTATTTTCGTTAAACAATAATAACAATAATTTATTATTTTAAAAATCTTAATTTTTTATAAGCAAATTCAAATTATTATTCATTATTATGAATCTTTGAAGAATATACTATTATATGTATATACTACTTATATTACTTTCAAATTTCGCGCTTTTTCTATACCTAACCTACAAGACCAAAAAATTCAATTTCCCATAAGAACCCGTGTTAAATGTGAAAAGAGAAAATTATTTATATCTTTTGTCAAAATCCACCTAGACCTCTAAAAATTTAACTACATCTTCTTTAAACCATTATCTATCAGTTTATCAAGTTTGATAATTAACTCTTCGTCATTTCTGTTTGCGAGAGAACTTCCTTAAATAAAATATCAAAAATTTGATAATAAAAAAATCATGTTAAAAATCTGTCAGAATAATTTAAATTTTGAATTAATATTTAATTAAATAACCTTTGCTCCTTTTAATTGTGGCATATACTTTTCAAATTCATCATCGATCTCATTTTCTGATGGTACAGAAGTAGGTGGATTATTAGGAAACTGCAATGGTTTACATTCATCTTTTTTGAGAAACTGCAGGAAAAAGAAAGAAGTTAATAAACAATTTTAAGAATTAGGATGATTTTCTTAAATTCCGAGAAGATAAATAATTTAACAAAAATCTTAATTAAAATTGAAATTTATAAAAATTTAGGAAGAATTAGCAGCATTGAAGTAAATAAATTATAATTTAATAAATAAATATACTTAATATTTGTTTAAAAAAAGAATTTTAAATTTAACTACTATCTTAATTGTTAACTTACACTTGGTAAATTATTCCCGACATCTTTTTTTTCTTTTTTCGACTCTGACATCACTAAAAGTAGAGACAATCTGTCTTCTAAATCATTCAGCGAAGTTTGTTTCGCGTTTTTCTCTTTGATTTTTGCAACCCATGAATATAAAGCCTAATTAATAATTTGTATAAAGAACAATAATAATAACATGAATAGTAATTATGAAATTTGTAAAATTAAAAAAATTTATTTTATTTTTGTTACAACAAAATATACAAATAATACTATATTAAATAATATTTTACCTTTTGCCATTTGCTTTCCTCTCGCGCACCTAATGGATTCAACATATTTAATAATGTAGTCAATTGACTCCATTTGAGATGAAATTGCTCTCTGTCAAAATCAGAAGAAAAATTTTTTTCTAACAAAATTGGAAAGTATTCGAACCATTGCACCATATTTTCTTGTTGGCGTGATGTGATTTTGGGTAACCGTTTTTTTGAGTCCTGTTGATCAGTCACTATAAAAGAGAAACAGGTTTGTTAAACATTTTTCTAATAATAATAATAGCAATAACAATTTTTTTCGATTTTTAAAAAGAATTTTAAGATATTACTTACTTTTTTCGCTAAAAAAATTTGCGTGTGATGCCGTGTGGAAATTAATCGTGGAAGTCTAGCTATAGCTAGCGCCACCACTGGATTCGTGATGGCAGTCTAGCCTAGCGATTTCACCTAGCCCCGTCAATGGCGCGAGTTCATTCTGCTAGAATGCAACATAACCTAATCCAATAGAATACAAATCTTTGTTTTAAAATAATAATACAAACAAAATTCAAGATTAAAAAAAACTATAATACAGAAAATTTATTTGGTAATTTATGAAATTTTGAGGTAATTTATAATTATAATACAAACAAAATTCAAGATTCAAAAACTATTGCAGAAAATTTACGTGGTAATTTATGAAATTTATGCGGTAATTTATAATATATAAAAGAAAAACTTGAAAACTAATTTTGAAAATTTATTGAAATTTATAGGGTAATTTATGGTAATTTATGAAATATCTAAGGTAATTTATAATATATATAAAAGAAAATTTTAGAAATTTATAGGGTAATTTATGGAATTTTATGTGGTAATTTAAGAAAATTTAATGGAAATATATGTTGTAATGTTGTAAATTATTTTTAAATATTAAATTAATATTAAAGTAAGAATAGTTTGCAATAAATTTTCCTGACAATAAACTTTTTGTTTATAAAAAATTTTATTTTTTGATCTAAAAAATAAATAAAAGTAATAAAATACGAATTAGGGTCAGTTGGGGTAAATGGAGACAGAGGGTAAATTTAGACAAGTGGTTTTGGAGTTTAATTTACAGTTTTTAAATTAAGATCAACGTCAATATTTTAACCTCAGATCACCTGTAAGAGGTTTTGAGTATTGATAAGCTTTTATCTTGACAATTGGCAACAAGATAAAAAAAGTTATCGCTCAATGCATAAAAACTTGAAAATCAAATTCAAATTGTTTCAGTATTTTGTCTTACATTTCAAAGAAAACAGACTTAAAAATCATACCAAATTTTTTTCTTCTTCCTTATGACTTCCATAACAGAAATTCACTTGAATTTTTGATTTTTGTCAATTTGCTTAATAATAACAAGCTGTCCCCATCTACCCCAAAATTTTGAAAACTCAGGGTAAATGGGGACAGCTTGTTATTATTGACCAAATTAACAAAAATCTAAAATTCAAGTGAATTTTTGTTATGGAAGTCATAAGGAAGAAGAAAAAAATTTGGTATGATTTTTAAGTCTGTTTTCTTTGAAATATAAGACAAAATACTGAAACAGTTTGAATTTGATTTTCAAGTTTTTATGCATTGAGCGATAACTTTTTTTATCTTGCTGACAATTGTCAAGATAAAAGATTGTCAATACTCAAAACCTCTTGCAGGTGATCTGAGATTAAAATATTGACGTTGAACTTAATTTTAAAATTGTAAAGTAAGCTCCAAAACCTATTGTCCCCATTTACCCCAACTGACCCTAATTATGAACGAATTAAATGATTTATGAAGAAATGAAGAATTTAAAATAATTATTTCTCTAAAAGCAAAAATATTTATGATATATATCATAATTACCTAAGTTAATCAATTCGCCGATTGAGGGCAGAAACACGCCAATTCAGGCGAATGTTAAGAAACATGACAATCTAAAAAATATTAGGGAAACCTGCCATTCCAGTGAAGATTTCAAAAACATGCCATCTCAGATGTCAAATTTTTGTTGATTGTTTTAGGTTGGTAACACTGTAAACGAAAAATTGATGAGTCAAAATAATTAATATTTTGTTGAATATTGATGGTTAAGTCGGTAGAACCTTTAATAATTTTATTATTAATAATTACACTTTAAAAATTTGTTAACTATAACATAACATTCTCAAGAAAGTGTTACCAACCTAAAACAATCAACAAAAATTTGACATCTGAGATGGCATGTTTTTGAAATCTTCACTGGAATGGCAGGTTTCCCTAATATTTTTTAGATTGTCATGTTTCTCAACATTCGCCTGAATTGGCGTGCTTCTGCCCTCAATCGACGAATTAATGATTGTAAAATTATTTACACTCATATAAGTTAAGATTCTGTAATCCCTCATAACAAAAGGATATCCCTACGATATCCATATCAATGGTCGATATCCTAGAATGGTCCCCAGGATATCTTGGGATATCCCTAGGATATCCAAACCGCCGGTCTGTGGGACATCAACAGGACATCCACATAATATCTATTGGATATCCAGGGATATCCATGGGATATCCTCAGGATGTCCGTGGGATATTCTTAGGATATTCACGGGATATTTAATATCTCAACATATATTTTTAAAGGTTAAAATTGTTAAGCTAATATAATGAATGATAATATAATAAAAACAAAAATCTTATGAGCTTCTAATTTATTTTAACTGAAGATTTGAAACGCATTTTTCAAAGTTTTTAAATAAACTCATGAATTTAATGTATAATTAATATTAATAGTTATTCGTTATTTGCGGGGAAGAATTTGTATTGTTTAAAGCCAATTTATTTTCTGACAATATTAAGCATATGAATAAGGGAATGAATCACGAATAAAAAAAAAGTAGTTAATTATTTTTCAAATTAAACAACTTTTTCGAAAAACAAGTTGTATTTTATTTTCATGGACGTAAGAAGTAAATGGACCCAGCACGTTGTATGTTTGATAGACAAGGGGGGTAAAACCGATCTTCGGTGAAGGGTGAGGCATTGGTGGAAGTACGTTGATTGGCCGTTTAGTACGCTTGCGCCGGCGCGCGTAATTTAAAACGAATAACATAATTATAAAAAGTAACTTGTAATAAAATCCGTAAATTTCAATCTAAAAAAATATGTTTTTCAAAAAAGTGTCCATTAAATTAATTAATAACATTTTTCTGTAAATATTTAATATGAAACAGATATTTTCCAAATACAAAACAATATGCAATAAATAAAATATAACACGATATAATAATGTTATTAATAATACAAAATGAATTATAAAAAAATTAATAAAAATAAATTATGAATAGATACATTTAAAAGAAATATGATCAACTATTTCTATAAATAATGAAATTAATAATTAAAAAATGTCACATAAAAATTGTTAAAAACATAACCTGTACCGTGAACAAACAGAGAAACACGAGATAAATACTTACCTGTGATATGTCACATTTTTCTTATTTCCATTTGTTTTAATAGTCCGAGAATTTTCACACGTTTTAATAATGCATTTTTCATATTTTTTTACCATGTTTTACTTATTCTAAGATTATAATAGAATGCATAATTAAAACCGCTAGACACATTGTCAACAAACAATAGTCGATTTCCATTTTGCATCGTCTGCTATACACGACGCAATGTTCGACCAATCACAGAATTTCCACCAATTCATGCGCACTGAACAGTTCTCCTCTTACCTACATGAGTCCCCACCCCGCAACTTTGTGCTGGGTCCATTTACTTCTTACGTCCATGTTATTTTATTTATATAAAATTTAATTCACAGAATATTCTCACTCGTAGTCTCACAATGACTTTAAAAACAGTATCCTGAGAATATCTTCTTGACATCCAGAAGATATACTGAGAATATCCTGAAAATATCTGTGGGATATCCTGACGATATCTGTGGGATATCCTGACGATATCTATGGGATATCTGGAGGACATTTATGAAAGTCTATAGAGATATCCAGAAGATTTTTTGGATATCCTTAAGAGATCCTTTTGATATCCATAGGACATCCCTAGGATATCTGCGGGATATTACCAATGTATCCCAAGATATCTTGTGTTATTAGGGATATATATTGAAGATTAGTTTAGAAATTTTATCACATATAATAATTTTTTATTTTAAGAATTCGATTTTAAATTAAATGGCTATACTTACTTGTAAAAAATATAAATAATAATCAAAAAAGTGAAAGAAAATGAAAGCTTCATATGTTTAAGAGAATAATAAAGTAAGGGAGACCGGGACTGAAAGTGCCGAGGGTAAAGTTGTGCCGATAGGAATATCTCAAAAACAAATTTTTTTTTTTTTGAAAAGTGGAAGTGAGTGAAGTATTGTTTTACTTATGCGTCACTTACGTGCAAGTTTTCATGTTTACACTTTTTGGTCTATTTTTTGCATTTTTAAAGATATCGATACGTATTTTTTTTGAAATGATCCTAATTTATCGAGGGATTCAATGGTGTATTGATCTTAACATTTTATTTATCTACTTTTTTAATATTTGATAAAAAGTGAGCGTTGACGCAACGAGGTTAATTGTGCCTTTCGTTTGGGGCTGGTTGTGCCGCTGTCAATCGCTACATAACCATAATCTACTATTGCCTCGTTTGTTCGAACAGATATTTCAACACTAAATCAAGAGAAAAGTGTATTTAATGCATCGTTTGCAAAAACTGAGCACATTTAAAATGTGTTAAGGGTAAAAAAAGGGTCAGTTATATGTGTGTCAATTGTAATTCATGTCTTAAAAATTATTTATTAATCAAAAAGTAGAGTTTTTACAATTAATTAACGATACAAATAATTATTTCAAAAAATATTTTAAAATACTGACTAATTATGTAATTGTAAAATTTAAGTCAGAAATGTTTATTTATTTACAAAAATCTATAAATGTTACGATTGTTGGAAAAATCTTTTGAATGTTTATAATAAAAATACTTATTACGAAAACTATGTTTTAAGTGACTGACTAACTATATGCATTTATAGAATATAAGTCAGAAAATGTTTATTTGTACTTACTAAAATCTAGAAATCTTAAGATTGTTCCTAAAATCCTTTTAAAGTTTATAACAAATGATTAATAAATAATAGTAAATCATATATTGTCAATAATTATTTTATTTCTTACGCGTAAAATTATTTGCTTCAACTGAAACAACTAAAAAATCTGAGCGGCACAACCAACCCCGGCGTCGGCACAACTCTCCCCAGCGCGAAGTTCAACGTGCCGTGTTGCCTCGCTGCACAAAATCATTTTTTACAAAAAAAACTGTTCAAAATTATCAAAAAATAATAATGGATTTAAAAACTACATTAAATTTAAAAATAGATAGACTATAGATTAAAACAAAAAATTCTCATTTTACTAACATTTTATTTAGTTTTCTCAAAATCGGCACTTTCAGCCCCGGTCTTCCCTACATAACTAAAATTTTCAAATCTACGTATTCCTTTTTATGTATGAACTTATCTATAAAGAATTATAAATATCTAATACTATAAAATATAATTGCTTCATAATTCGTTAAACAAGTTAAGCCATATATTTTTATCATACGAAAACACTATAAATTAATATTTACTTTTTAAATTAAAATTATAATTATAAAATATAAATATACTTATATAGTTGTACTTGTAAAACAAGAAAATAATTTTTTTTCACAGCAAAAGATTCTGCTATCTATAAGTGAGTTGTTAAATATTGTGTAACATTTACGACAATTTTTGGTGACACAATGTTAAGTTTACTACCACTTATTTCGTAAAATACTGAGTTCATATTTTAACAGAATTTCTAAGTAATAAAATTTTTATTTAACAAAATATTTTCTCAATATAATTTCCATTTAGCATACTTTTTATTCAAAAGAATTCCTCTTAACACGAATTTTCATTTATCAGAATTCTTATTAAACAGAATTTCGTCTGAGTTGAATTTTTAAATGCCAGAATTTCCATTAAACCAAATCTTTATTTGTCCGAATTTTTATTAACACAAAATGTCATTTAATAGAAATCTTAAAACACTGAATTTTCATTTATCCTACATTGCAAATATGGTCGAATAATCAAATAGCAGAAATATTTCGGCGCCAATTTTAAAGTTGACCAATCACAATTTTCTTTACAGTTTCTGATTTGTCAATTTTAAAATTGACGCCGAAATATTTCTGCTATTTGATTATTCGACCATATTTGCAATGTAGGATAAATGAAAATTCTGTGTTTCAAGATTTCTATTAAATGGCATTTTGTGTTAATAAAAAAATTCGGACAAATGAAGATTTGGTTTAATGGAAATTCTGGCATTTAAAAATTCAACTCAGACGAAATTCTATTTAATAAGAATTCTGATAAATAAAACTTCGTATTAAGAAGAATTCTTTTGAATAAAAAGTGTGCTAAATGGAAATTATGTTGAAAAAATATTTTGTTAAATAAAAATGTGATTACTTAGAAATTATGTTGAGTATAAATTTTGGTTAATTTAAATTTTATTAAGGCCATGTGGGCAAAAGACTAACTTTTCATTTTCATCTGAAGGAACTTATGGAAAAATAAGGAGAATTAGTAATTTTAAATTGAATAAACAAAATGTTTTAGAAAAAATATATACGAACCTTTTTCCGTTTTTGCATCATCTTCGAAAATATCCATATTTGACAAAACTGAAATTTAGTTCTAAAAAATAAAATTCACATTACTTCAAAAAATACATGGAAAAAAATTTTCATATGGAACAGCGAAAAATTTCACTAAAATAGGAAAAGATTTAACTGAAACAATTAGAAATTTTGCTTTGCTAGTGAAAACTTTCGCTGTTCCAGGTAAATATCTTTTTTTCCGTGCAGAGAAAATTAATAAAATATTTTTTGTAAATTTAAATTATAAATTAAAAAATTTGTTTAATTTCTCTAAAAAAAAAATTATTTCGGGTTAAAAATTTCAAGAAATGATTTAGGAGGATGCAAGGCATATGATTTACTATAATTTGACGCAAAAAATAATAAAAATAAAGCAATAAATAGTAAAATAATCTATTTTATCATAGTTCATTCAGCGACCACTTGTTCGAATTGGCGCTGTTTACTGGAGCACTGACACATTCACGCAACGTTTGTGTATGCGCCGCCATCTTTGTTTTCATTTTCGTTTGAAAAAGCCACTTTTTAAAATTCATTTTTTAATAATTTAACGCAAAATTATGTTTTTTCAGGAGAACAGCGATATGCATTATACCTAAATCTATAGTGCCGTAGACTGAAAAAAATTTCTAACACCCGTATATGCCAGGAATTGACTAATTTGCCTGGGTTACGAGAGGAACCCACTAGGCAATCTTGGTCAAAGTTGATTTCGACAATTAGTCGGAATGACTAGGAAACCTTATCAGAATAACTAGGTATCTTAGTTACATTGGCTAGAATTACTTTTACTAAATAAAATTTAGCAAAATTGACTATAGATACATGCGATATTAACCAAACACCTTAGTTAATACAACTGGGAAACAAGGGGTCAATTCTACTAAATAGACTTTGACAATATTAACCAAGCTACATAACTGAATTGACTAGGATTCTTGGTTACGCTGACTAGATTTAAAGTTGCTATGGTTAATAGTCATTAATGCGAAGCAAATTTTTTTCAGTGTATACAGATTAAAAAGATCGCAAGCGCCATTATGTTGCTGAGGTCGTCATTACTGTAGTATAAACATGAGCAAAACAACCTAAGCGACAATGGCACTTATGTATCTTTTTAATTTGTACGGCAGTACATAAATCCTAAAAATTTTGACCCAAAATCTTTTTTCATTTTAGAGAAATTTTGGATTTCGCAAAACACATTTTCCCATACTAGGTCACGTGGGAGTTTCCCACATGCCGTTAAACAATTAATTCGAAAAACACAAATTCGAATAAAATAAAATTCTATCTAATAAAATTCTATAAAATGAAATTTCTAAATGATTCACATTATGGAATAATCATGCAGCCTCGTATGGGTAACAGATTTTATAAAAATATTTACCATCAAAAATGTAATATATAATAATAAATTTTTGAAGAAATTACAAATAATTAAATTTTAAATACGATATATATATATATATATATATATATATAAGGTATTTAAGAAAATGAATGAAAAAGTTTATTGTAAACTAGTACAGAAGTAACATACACGCAACGCTAGTATAAAAAAATTTTTGAATGCCTGTTTTCTATCATTATAGTTTGTTAATATTGAAATGTTTGATTTTCATTGATAGAAAAGTGAATAAAGAAATCTGCATGATGTATATACTTTTGAGAAATCTGAATATTGAGTTTTCTTTATAAAAAAAGCCTAACTCAGAATTTACTGAGAAATTTACGATCGAATGGCAGTAGCATCTTTCGTTGAAAATGACAGTGATTACTAGATGACTAAGGTAAAAATATTCTCTCTCGGGACATTAGGTTTCATCAATCGTATATATATATATATGGTATATATATGGCCCATACATTTCATTCAGAAAAATACAACCGTAGCAGAGCTATTACTGTAAGAATTTCATTCAGACTTTTCAGTGGCGAAAGGTTAGTTTTTAAAGGGCGGGGATGAAGCAGTGGTTTTCATCAATGAAAAATACTCCCACTTTTGTGCAAATTGCCATTCATTTCCATTGGAGTTCTTCAGAGGTTTCAAGCATACTTACTGAAAGGTTCTTCTTGTAGCACACTGTACGTTTTATTAACTTCTCAACACTTACTATATAAAAATACTAGCTTTTCCTTTTTTTCCAAAAAAAAAAATATATATATATAAAGAAAATGCAAAGCAGGCGCTCTTCAGAATAGAAAATTTCCTATATTATACACTTCATTCAACTACAAGTAGTTTGAAAGTGAATAAGTCAATAATAATAATAATTAAGGGTCAGTCCACTGACTTTCGTCTAATAGTGGTTGCGACCAAATTTTAAAAAAATCTAGTTTTAATATATGTGAAACTCGATGATTCCCTGAGTTCATTAACCATAATATTATGGTAAAAATTTTATTCCCTTTAAAAATATTAAATATCAAAAGTAGGAGGTTCACAACCTTAAATTTTTCAATTTTTTTAAAAACGCTATTATTAAAAAACTATTAAAAATTAGATGTTGGAACTCACCAAAAACATAAATCACTTTATTCTGCACAGAGGAACGAAAGAATTATTGCAAAAATTTATTATTTTTGGATGATATACGATTTTTAAAAAAATTTTATTTAAATATTCTCAAGATTTTTATTTACTTATAACTTTTTTGTCGGTGCTCCGAAAAAATTGAGGTTTTGCACAAAGATTTTTTATAATATTCTTTACCTTCTATTAAAATCTTACGAAGGTGTTTTGCTTCGTTTTGGAGATATTAATTTTCAAAATTTTTTATTTAAAAAGGCTAATTAAAATACTTGAAGTTAACTGACCAATTTCAAATCGCTACATTTTAATATATTTTTATAAAAAATGGAGCAGTTTGAATTTGGTTAGTTAACTTCAAGTCTTTTAATTAACATTTTACATAAAATTTTTTTAAAATTATTATCTCCAAAACGAAGCAAAACATCTTCGTGAGATTTTAAAGGAAGGTAAAGAATATTATAAGAAATCTTTGTGCAAAACCTCAATTTTTTCGAAGCACTGACAAAAAAGTTATAAGTAAATAAAAATCTTGAGAATATTTAAATAAAATTTTTTTAAAAATCGTATATCATCCAAAAATAATAAATTTTTGCAATAATTCTTTCGTTCCTCTGTGCAGAATAAAGTGATTTATGTTTTTGGTGAGTTACAACATATAATTTTTAATAGTTATTTAATAATAGCGTTTTTAAAAAAATTGAAAAATTTAAGGTTACAAAATCACATTGTGAACCTCCTACTTTTGATATTTAATATTTTTAAAGGGAATAAAATTTTTACCATAATATTATGGTTAATGAACTCAGGGAATCATCGAGTTTCACATATATTAAAACTAGATTTTTTTAAAATTTGGTCGCAAACACTATTAGACGAAAGTCAGTGGACTAACCCTTAAATATAATTTTACAGTAAAATTTTTAAAGAATCAATGAATTTAGTTATTTCTTCTTTTTACGATTATTTTTTTTCGAAACTTTTTTCGTTTTTTTAGATTTTTCTTCAACAGGTGGCTTTTCTTCTATTTGGGAAGATAATTCCTTTGGTGGTGAAGGAGTACGAGGAGGAGAAGGAGGAGGAGGAGTTGGTGGTTTTGGAGTACGAAGTTCAACTTCAATATTTCTTTTCGCTTGATTAAAAGTGTCATCTTTTTTCTTTACCCTAAGAAGAAATATATCCTGATTTCCCTCTGTCACGTGATCATTAAACACTTCCTGAGCGCCAATACCACCTAATTGAGGATGTACTGTAATTGTTTTGCAATTACTACTTCCGTTTTCTCCTCCATTTGCCGGTCCAATCTTATTAAAATATTAGAAATTTTTTTATTATAGTAAAGAATGTAAAAAAAAATGTCAATATAGTATTAATGACGTCAATTAAATGACGTGTTTAAATTTGTAAACATTTCGACATCTCAATGTGAGTCATTATCAATATATATAATATTATATGTATTTATATATTAATGATATATTATAACGTACGTGAAATATCGAAATATTTATAAATTTAAACACGTGTCATATAATTGACATTATTAATAATATATTCAATTATAAAAAGAGATCTTCACTTTTTACAGTAGATTTTTTAGTACATTAAATTTTCTAAAAATAAAATTTTTATTTATCAGAATATTTTTAAGAATTTTGGTAGAAATAAGTTTCTATAGACGAATTTTCATTATTTGAATTAGCATTTGACAGAATTTCATTTTATTCGAATTTTATTTGATTATGACACAATTTCCAAATCACCGAATTTTAATTTGTACGAATTTTTAACGAATAGAATTTTTAAGACGCCGAATTTTCATTTGTCCGAAAATAGTGATTGGTCAATTTTAAAAATTGCGCCAAAATGTTTCGGTCGTTAGTTTGTTTGGTCATTTGTAATTTCGGAATAATGAAAATTCAGCGGCTTAAAAATTCGTACAAATTAATATTCAGTGATTTGGAAATTGTGTCATTTAAAAAATTCGAATCACACAAAATTTGATTGCATGAAAATTCTGTTAAATTAAAATTTTATTAAATTAGTAAAGAAAATGAGAGTAAAATAAAAATTGTCCCAAACAAAAATTCGATAGCTAAAAATTTTGTTATGTAAAAAAAACATAAAAAGAAAATCTGTTAAATTTTAATTCGAAAATTCGTCCAAATATAATTATTTCTAATAAAATACTATAAAATAAAAATTATAATTATTGATTTTTATGTGATGACGTTAAAGTGTAAATATTTTCTTGTCTAAAAAAAAATTGAAAGAAAAATTCTGAGGAATAAAATTAACATAATTTTTCTCATGATTATTAATAAAAAAAACTATCTATTATTAAATTTCGATTAAATTTTTGTTTTTGGTACAACGGAAGGAGCGTATATGATTATTTCATAAAAATGATTTTTCATATAAATTTTTATTTTACAAAATAAAATTTAATACAGAATTTTTTTTTAAACGAATGTTTACTCAACGGAATTTTCAAAGTAACGAATTTTTATATTACAAAATTTCTCTTTACCCAACTGTTTCTTAAAAAGAATTCTAATTTAACCTATTTTTAATTTATTAGAATTCTCATTTAGTAGAATTTTAAGTAATTCGAATTTTTAAATCCTAGAACTTGGAATCGGAAGCTCACATAAAATATTTAATATTTTAAAACAACAATTTTAATTTGAAATCTTCAAAAATTAAATTATTTCTAAAAATGTTAACTCGAACTCTTCCAAAATTCAATTATTTTTAAAATTTGTATCTAAAACTCTTTGCTAAATTAATAATTTCAATAAATTTTATCCAATTATTCAAAAATTCAATTAAATTATATAAATTAAATTAAATAATAAATAAATAAAAAATAAAAAAATAAAAATTATATAATTAAATTATATAATAATAACATGCTTGGTCTGTCCTTCTGTCCTAACTTGAAGTTGGCTTTTTATGATTTCAGGTGTTTTTTTTTGAATAGTAATCTTATGACGTGTCAAATTTTTACAATTCTTTTTCTCATTTTTGCCAAAGTTGTATAATTGTGTTTCCAAATTTCGGAATAAGTTTCTTTAAAATTCCAAATTCGAAAATTCAATTCACGAAGATAAAGTACACAACGTTTACCAACGAAATTTTTTTTAAAGTTGTATATTGATTCAAAAATTGTATACAAATACAAAAAATTTATGATGAGAAAAAGATGTGCCAGGAAATTTCGTACAAGATAGTAATTTGAAAAAAATTTATTTTTAAGGTACCAGGGGCCAACGAATACCTATTAAATATTAATTATAAAAACACAGGCCTCGAATCAACTTAAAGACACAAAAAGTCGTTTTAGTCGATTTATATTCCAAAAAAAGTGTATTTGTTTTTTATTTTAACAAAAATATTTTACAGATTTTTAAATAAAAATTTTTTTTTTAATAATAATCCTTTTCGAAGGGTTAAAGGTGAAATTTTTAGAAATAATTAAATTTCAAAAGATATTGTTAATTTTCAAACAATCATAAAATTTTACAGAACTAAAAATAATTTATCAAACAATTTTTGGAAAACATTTGTTAAATTTAATTGAATTTTCAAAGATTTAAAATTGAGATTTTTGAAATCAATTGAAACTTTAAGTGATTTTTAATTAAAATTTTAGATGATTTCACTAAAAATTTATTAGAAAATGCGGACAAAATACAATAATTTGAAAATCATTTTTAATTGAAAAATGGTTTCAGATAGTTGAATTTTCAAAGAATATTATTAAAATAGTTAAAAATAATTGAATTTCCTTAGAGTTATAATTGAAATTATTAAATTTCAAAAAAATAATTTTTGATGGACAATTTTAGAAAAAATTAAATTTTAGATGCTTTTAAATTCAAATTATTGAAAATTCAATTAATTTTGAATTCAAATTTTTGAGAATAATGGAATTTCACTTCATTTTGAATTGAAAATTTTTGGAAATAATTGAATTTTAAATGAAATTTTGGATAATAATTTAATTTAAGTTCATTTTTGATTGAAAATTTGTATAATTAATTTTGAATAGAAATTTTAGAAAATAATTGAATCGTGAATTTCGAAAAGGGCTCAATTCGAAAAAACGTAAGTGTCATTTTCGCATAACATACGATAGCGAAAATGACACTTACGGTTTTCAGAGTTGAGCCCTTTTCGAAATTCACGATTCAATTGAATTTTATTTCATTTTAAATTGAAAACTTGGTAAATAATTAAATTTTAAATTGAAAATTTTGGATAATTATTGAATTTTAATTGATTTTGAATTAAAATTTCGGGTAATAATTGAATTTTAGTTTATTTTGAATTGAAATTTTTAAAAAATAATTCAATTTTATTGTGATATTTTTTTTAAATTATAAAGAATTGTTAAATTTCATAAAAATTTTAATTGAAAAATAATTTTGATATAATTGAATTTGTGATGTATTTAATTAAAATTATTAAAAATAATTAATTTAGTGAAGAATCATTTTAGTTCAAAATTTGTTAAATAATTGAATTGAAGAAGATCTGAAGAAGATCTACATTTTATACTAAAAAAATGTATTTTATTTACATTTTCTTTCAAATGTAAAAAAAAATGTTGCATTTTATTAAAATAAGTCGATAAAAGTCGTATTTTTGAAAAAAGTCGGAAAAAGTCGTATAATCCGAGGCCTGTAAACATATAATTTTCATTATTATTATTTAATATGTAATAATATTCTAATAAATTAAATTATTATTAATAATATTAATCTTTAATTTCTTTATAACAAATAATTAAATACACAATTTGGCGCGCTTGAGCGCGTTTAATTTTGCTAGTAATAAATAAAACATTGTTTAATTCAAAATTCTCTAAAATTCAATTACTATTTGAAACTTTGTTAATAATTTTCAGCAATATTCTAATTTACAAAAATTTTAATTCAAAATCTCCTGAAATTGAATTATTAAAAATTTTGATTCAAATTTTTTGTTGAAATAATTATTTCTAATAACTTTGATCAAGATATTGTCACTTAAATTATTTAAAACATTTTTCAATTCAAAATACTCTAAAATATTCAATGATTGTCTGAATTTCAGTTAAATTAGAATTATTTTTAAAAAAACAGTTGGGTAAAAAGAAATTTTGTAAAATAAAAATTCTGTTAAAAAAAAATTTGAAAAATTAAAAATTCTATTGAGCAAAAGATCGTTTAAAAAGAAATTATGTTAAATGCTATTTTGAAAAATGAAAATTCTTATAAAAAATAATTATATAAAGCAGTAGTTGAAGCGGCCAATAATAAATCATCAATTTGGCGAGCTTTTAGGAATCAAAAAATTCGCTAAAATTTAAAATTCTTGAATTCTGTCATTTTTAAAATTATTTTTTGAAAGAGTATAGGACTTAGTGGCTTTTGGACAAAATTAGTAGTAAAAAAGTAGCCTTGTCGAAAAAAGTATTAAAAAAGTAAAAAAGTGTGTCACTTCGAAGCTTGACTTTTATAATAACTAGTAGTGATTAATTTTTTTTCTATTTTTTGAAATTTTTTTTGTAGTTTTTTGATACCGATTCAAAATAAATAAAAAAAATTCACGTTCTGAATTGAATTTAGAAATAAAAAACACAAATTTAATACCTTATAAGCAATAGCTTGTGGCTTGTAATTTGATTCATCTTTGAGATTTAAATGATTTTTCGAATGGATGCGAAATAAAATTTGATTATTATCACCGGCGTTAACAATTTTTGGACCTTCTTTTCTAGTGGGTCTTTTAATTTCAACTATATCACAATCGCAAATAGGTTCCCATTGATTGTCTTTCTTCTTTCTTTTGTGTTTATCTTTCTCCATTCTTATTGTTAAATAATTTCCCAGCATTTCTGCGCCAATTTCATGAAAATGTTTATCTGCTTTATTATTAATTTCCAATTTAGAAGAATTCAAATTTCTATCCTCCAATGAAGATGGAGAAGAAGTGGCTATCAAACAAAATAAAAATTAATATTTCAAAATTAATTTTCAAAAATTTTTTATATTTTATAAACATACATGGCTGTTGAATATGCTGCATTATTGTGTTATATTTTAAAAAGAGAAAGAAAAAATTGAAAAATTATTTGAATTTGACACTCTTTGATTTTTTTTGGTTATTAGAAACATTTGACTGTCTTGAAAACACTGTTTAAAAATTTAATTCAGTTTATAAATTTAATTTTTTTCAACTAAAAATTATCAAAATTTTTACATTTTTGTATCCAAATAATTGTGGACTAAATTACAATTAAAAATATTGAGAAAAAAAATTGTCTTTATAAAAAATGATTGCCGCTGCAAAAAATTGTGGTTGTTATGATGATAAATCAGGTTTTGTATTTTATTAAATTTTTTTTTTTTTAATACCAATAAATAATATTTGAAAATAATAAAAAATTTTATTGATATAATAATTTTTTGATATTTTTATAGATTTCACACATCAAAAAATTTCCAAAACTTTTTCATTAATTTCATCTGAAAATTCAATTCAAGACTTGGAAAAATGTGTCTGTCCAAAACCAAGTGAAAAAGGTTATAAAAAACTTAAAGGTACTTGTGACATTTGTTGTAAGGGGAATAAATCAAAAAATGAATGTACAGAAGATTTGATCGACGAAAAAAGGAGTAAAGTTTTTTCGGAAATAGTCGAAAAAGGTGCAAAATTTTTTAAAGAATTAATAATATTTTTAATAATTATTAATAAATTATTTTTATTTATTGTCATTATATAGTTTTTTTAGAGTTAAATTTCATTAAAAATAAGTCAAATTTTATATGGAATTGCTCATATATAAAAAATTTTGATTCAAATAATCGGTTACTTGACTATTTATCAAATAAATATTTATTTGTATTAAATAATTATTATTTGAATGGTATTTGTTTCAAATACAGAAATTATTGGTTTAAAATATTAATTTGATAATAGTAAAGTAACTGATTAATATTTGAATCAAATAAATTTGTTTTCAGTTCAAATATGGTTGAAAATATAGTTTTTAAATTTTTTTTGAAAATTCTAAATAATTTTTATGAATATTTATGCAGGTTTACCTTATAAAGAGACTGAGGTGATTATAAATGACAATCGAATGATAATTCGTGTGCAAAAAGATTCAAAAACCAATGAAGAATGGGATCCACCATGTGAATGTAATGAAGAAAATAAAAAAACTCATTCTAAAGTTGAAAATATCGACAACACCAAAAATAATATAATTTTTCGAAAAGTTGATTTAAATCCTTGTCGTACTATTACTGTTTATCCACAAGCTGATTCAGATGTTCATACAGAATCAAATGTCATTAAATCAAATAATGAAATACAAAATAAGAGAGTGATGAAAGAAAAAATGGAAATTGAAAGACAAAAGAGGGAGGCAATTTTAAAAAGTCTTGATAATGAAGAAAATCCAAATATTTTTCATCTGAGAATTAAAAAACAATGTGAAAACGATGAAGGAAAATATAATATTGATTTAGAATTTAAAACACCTCGTCCATGGTTAACAAAACAAATTGTTGAAAAATCTTTACCTCTTCCTCAATCAATTGTTTCAAATGTAACAATAGAAAGTGAGGAAGAAGGCAAGAAGAAGAAAGAAGAAACGGGGAAAAAAGCTAAAATAAAAAAAGGAGGAAAAAAGAAAAAAAAGCAGCAAAAAAAAACATGATTAAAAAATAAATATTTAAAGAAAATATAGAAATTTTAGTAAATATTTTTCAATTTATGGAAAACGTCTCTAAAATATGAAATAATTAATAATTTATAAAAATTTCGTACTTAAAAATATTATATTTCAATTTTTACTATTTCAAATTTTAGTAAATGTTTACGAACTTTAATATAATTTTCAGTAATTCTAATAACTTTTTTCTGAGATTAAATATTTTTTTTTTACTTTTGAAATTTTAATTACATTTTACTAATTTGATAGTAAAAAAAAATTTTCTAATTTATTAGTTACATTTTACTATAAAAATTTTTAGCTACCAAATTTTTGTTTGGCAGAATTTTTATTTTATAGTCATTTAATTAAAGTGACTTTTTATTTTGAAAAATTTTAATTTAATCGAATTTTTAAATGACAGAAATTTCAATTCACCGAATTTTAATTTGTACGAATTTTTAATTAATAGAATTATCTATTATCTATCTATTAAAAATTTGGACAAATTAAAACTCGGTGAATTGGATTTATTCAGTAGCTAAAAATTTTGGTATGTAAAAATTCGTATAATAAAAAATTCTGTCAAATGCTAATTTGAAAAATGAAAATTAATCTAAAAAATAATTATTTGTAACAAAAAAACTTGAAAATAAAAATTTTAATAATTTTTTTTTTTTAGAAATTTATGAGCTACCAAAAAATAATTTGTAGAAATATAAATTCGGTTAAAAGGAAATTCTATCTAATTGAATTCAATCAGATAAAAATGTTAACAAATTAATATTTATGTATTTTTCATGCGATTTCAATTTTTTCCATTTTGACACGTTTTCTCTAAATTGTAATCTTTTTATACTAAAATTTCAATACTTCATTTATGTAAATTTCCTATATATTTTCTTTCAGTGTACAAAAATAAAAAAATTTTTAAATAAAAAACGTAATATTTTCAAATCAAAATGAAATATGAAAAAATGGAAGTATATTTATTTTTTTTTTTTTTTTTTGAAAATTGCGTAGAATTTTTGAAACTAGATATATATATAATAATCAATTTCATGAATGAAAGCGGCAAACTGAAATAAATTCTTATAAAGAATGAAAATTTATCAAATTGAAGTTTCCCTCGAGCGGTTCTCACGATCTCAACAAGAGTCAGGTGGGTTTTTGAATGGACCTCTCTATTCATTCAATTCTTCTTCTTGGCCACCCGCCCACTATGAGCCCACTTTTGAGGCTTCAAGAAAGAAAAAAAAACTATATTCCTCTTGCCATTTTCAGAAGCTTTTCAATGAAATTGTGTAAACTTTACGAGAAGTTTAAATCACCTTTTCTGCTTTCTGGAGTAACGATGATCACCTTATTCTTCCTTTTAAATTTATTACATTTCAAGACGCATTTATTAAAAGTTTTCAAGGATGAATAAATTTCTTATTACTAAATTATTACAAACAATTATATGCGATATTAAAATTTGAAAATTTGATATTACAATTTTTTTACTCACCAAAAATATGTATATAACAATAATAAATATATGAAAAATAATGTTACCCAAAAAATTTATCCGATGTATAATTAGCAATAGAACTTTTTTTTATTATGTATTTCCATTGTCATTGAAAATTATTTTAATATATTTGAAACGAATAATTTTGTACAAATGCATAAAATATAATAATTATCAGACGTAAATATATGTATTTGATTGAAGACTGCTTGTAATCGCGTAAAAAACATTTATATATAATATTTTTTAGGTTAGAAAAAAGAAAACGTATTTTTTTACAACAGGAACGGTACTGCCAACTTAAATAATATAACGCTAAATTTAATAACTTATGAAATTAATTATTATCTAAATAAATAATAATTCTTACTTAAATATTTCTAAATATATTCGTCCTGATAAAAAAAGCTATATGGTATTGTTGAAATATTAGAAAAAATAATTGTAATACAAATTCACTCTGCAAATGATGCCAACCTACACACAAAAAAATGCCAATGTAAAGGCTAATGTACAATAAGTTCGCGAACGAAATGCATGAGATAGAAAAGGGTACAAATATATCTCTGTCCTTCTCTAACTCATGTTTCACGTTCGAAAACGTCTTTCGCGGAGCTATTCTGCTTAGGCCTTAAGGTACTTTTATACCTCTAGTATTTTGGTCAAGCAATCGGCTGGAAAGAATTTTCACGGAGAATCACTAAATTTGATTGGCCCTAAAAATTTTAATTTTCACGGTGAAAATCTAATATTTGTCAGAGCCAATCAAATTCAGTGATACAACCGTGAAAATCCAATCCAGCCGATTGCTTGACCAAAATACTGGAGGTATAAAAGCACCTTTAATTTACTATACTTCGGACCAGAGATGGGTAAAAGCACGAAGTAATAATATGGAGACTCAACTCTGTATTTGCCATCTATCAAGGTCACTGCACCATAAGTGACATGTTCGCTAAAGGGAATTAACTTTCGAATGTAAGCATCAATGGCAACATAACCTCTTTTTGTTATTTACTTTCTGCTTTATTGTTGGTAAATAAGTATTAATTAATAAATAAACTATTTAAATATTGATCAATTGAGAACTTTTAGTTAAGTTAAATAATTAACATTAACATTAACATTTTAAATGTGCTTTCGTTCTCAATTTGGAAGAGAAATACTAATACAATTTAAATTTTATCAAAGCATCGATAATTAATTTTTTCCAATATCAGAATTTTTGAAAAGTGGAATTTCGAAATAAGCAGATTTAGGGTTATGTTTCTCAAAATTAGCCTTATGTATAATACACATGTATAATACGTGTATATTACACGTAAAATACCTTGTATTATACTCGAGGTTTTCTATGTACCCATCTCTGCGTCGGACGTAGTAAAAAAAAATGTCAGCATGTTGTAAATTTACAAGCCGGAAAGTTAAAAGGCTACATAAGGATGGATTTACATGTTGATGTAAATGCAGAATGCAAAACCGAAAATAATGAGAGTGAAAGGGATAGTGATATATTCTTGTCCCTTTCACTCTCATTATTTTCGGTTTTGCATTCTGCATTTACATCAACATGTAAATCCATCCTAACTTAAAAGTTGTTTTTTATGTATTTTATAAATTTTTTTATGTAACATACCATTTTATGATATTACAATATATAAATAAAACAATTATAACAAAATTATAATTTAATTTATAAAATAAAAAACAACTGTAACGTAATGTAGCTTTCAAATTTTCCGGTTTGTAAATTTACAACTAACAACTTGCTGACAGTTTTTTTTTATGGATTTCTACAATAGGTGCAAAACGGTTGGTTTCCATTGTCCCCACTCGCCGAAATCCCCATTCGCCATTTGTCATAATTCTCATCAACTACCGCACCCTGCTTTAGTAAAAATTTAGTGAATATTGTTAAAATTAAAATTTACTATAAATAAGTTACGAAATTTTTACTAAAGCAGGGTGCGGTAGTTGACGAGAATTATGATAAATGGCAAGTGGGGACAATGGAAACCAACCAAACACAAGTGCAAGTCCAAGTCTAATTTTTTTTTTATAGGGCCGTTTCGGAATTGGAATTTTTAGCGCATTTTTGATAAAGTGAATACTGAGGATAACACTTTATCAAAAATGCGCTAAATATCCCAATTCGAAAACGGACTAGGTCAAGCTATTGAAAAAAATTTGGAACTAGACTTGCTCTTGTCTTTTGCACCTATTGTAGAACCTCCATTACTGCGTCCAACGCGTGGTCATGGTCACTTTTTTCTAACGTCCGTCATGGTAAAATTACCATTATTGAATCCAAGTTTTTTCTGTCCATATATATAAATATTGTAACTCAACTGAAGTTAAATCTTTTTTTAATGTCGTGAAATAAACGACTATTTCCGAATGTGACAACAAATAAATGGGATATAAGTGTAATATTTATACCGGAAATCTGTAGATATACGAATAAGGAAAATGTGGAAGTAGATGTGAGGATTATATAATAGAAATATATATATATATATATATCCCGTTGACTTTTGACACATTTAGAGCATTAGGATGTCAATGAATGCAAGTCCTAACATTTTCATTCTAATGGTCTAAAAGAGAAGATCCTTTTATGAATGAGCTCTCGTTTGTCGATTCTCCTAGCGAAAATTGTATCGCACGTCATTGTGTCCAGTCCCTCCATGTCCTTCTTCTTCACATTGATACCGTTTAGTACCATTTAGGAAGCTGTAATTTATAGCCCTTGTTCAAAAATCAATATATTACTTTAAAGTCTCTATTGGCAAATCATATCTTAATTAATGATCCTCTTTCAAAAATAAGAATAATAGCAATCATTTATTTATTTGAAAACTTTAAATTTCCCAAAGACAAACGGAAAAAAAAAATTAATTGCTATATGTTGACATTTGTATTCTTATATTGTGTAAAAAAATGTACTAAAAATTAAAAAAAGTAGAAAAACATTTTACATGTGAGAATATAAAACTAATTTTTTTTTAACAAAACAATTTTTTATTATTTCAACAATATTACGAAGTTAAAATTGTAGGAATAAGTTGACAGATTACAAGTTATTGTAGATACACCTTGATACCTATAGGGAATTTTAAATTCTTTGACGTTTGACAGCATGACAGCTTTGTCAGGCTGCAGTCCCATGGCAGCGTTTTGCGTTGCGTTTTGTCACTAGACCATGAGTGTAAAAGAGATGCAGATATATGTTTGCTATGTTTACACTCAGGGTCTAGTGACAAAACGCAACGCAAAACGCTGCCATGGGACTGCAGCCTCAGTTTTCCACAATTAGCTTATGAACATACTACTCACCTGCAAGTTTAATAACACAGGCACACAAAAAATAAAAAGCTGTTTGGCCGAGACACTACACTAGTTTATTTTCATGTATTTTTTCACGCTGAATCCGAATCCGAAGTCAGAATTATCAGATTGGCTTTTATTTTTGAGATAAACTCAAAAAACTGCACAGAAAGAAAAATAAAATCAAAAAGTTAAAAATTTTTTGAATATCACTGCGATAGTGTAATTCCATGTATTTTTTGTCGCTGAATCCGAATCCAAAGTCAGAATTGTTAGATTCGCTCAAATTTTTGAGATAATTGCAAAAAAACGCAAGTAACAAAGAACTCAAAATACTCAAAATCAGTTTTTTGGAAGTATCTTCAAAATTTGAGCCAATCTGTCAATTCTGACTTCGAATTCCGATTCAGCGTGAAAAAATACATGAAAATGCACTATCGTAGTGTTTTCGGCAAAAAAAATTATCTGTGCCCCTAATTCAGAATTTTTATCAGTTTTTGGCGATTTTAGCTCAAAGAAATTTTTTTTTGCCGAAAAACTACGATAGTGCATTTTCATGTATTTTTTCACGCTGAATCGGAATTCGAAGTCAGAATTGACAGATTGGCTCAAATTTTGAAGATAATTCCAAAAAACTGATTTTGAGTATTTTGAGTTTTTTTGTTACTTGCGTTTTTTTAAAACGCAATTATCTCAAAAATTTTGAGCAAATCTAACAATTCTGACTTTGGATTCGGATTCAGCGACAAAAAATACATGGAATTACACTATCGCAGTGACATTCAAAAATTTTTTAACTTTTTGATTTTATTTTTCTTTCTGAGCAGTTTTTTGAGTTTATCTCAAAAATAAAAGCCAATCTGATAATTCTGACTTCGGATTCGGATTCAGCGTGAAAAAATACATGAAAATAGTGTCTCGGCCAAACAGCTTTTTACTTTTTGTGTGCCTGTGTAATTTATTGAAATAAAAATATTTTAATATGGCTCATGAATTTATATTGAAAACTATTTGGCAAGATTGAATTGAAAATATTTCATCCTTTTATTTACAGATAAAACTTAAAATAACATTCTTCTCTGCTGTCACTTGAGGATACCTAACCTATAAAAAGGTAAATGTTCCATTTAAACGAATTCTCATTTAAAAGAATTTCTACTCGGTCCAAATGAATAATAATAATTAGATATTTTATATTTTTTGAACAAAATTTGACCATTTAAAACCATAGGTAATGTAATCATAAAAACCAATTTTTTTGAATTTTGCGTAAAAAACACAAAAATTGGGATTAAAAAGAAGCGCTCGGGGATTTTACTTATATTTATAGAGAATGGTCAGTGAAGGACCCTGAAAAAGTTTCAATAAGAATTTTCCAAGGGGTGCAACTTTAGGGGCCATCCGAAAATGGTGAAAAATAGTGCAACGTTATTTATGGATGGCCCCTTAGGGTTAAAATGTTTTCCAGCCAACCGTATGATTATTATCTAATAATAATTTTAGGAATTTTGGTACAACTACAAATTATACAAGTATAATTCCCATAAAGATTTTTTACAGCAAGTACTATAAGGAATAATCAGTAAATGTATGAGAAATTTTATTTTTACCACTTAAAAATCATTAAAAGTTGCATTTGTATGAAAAATTTCTTTCAATAAGAAACGATTGTCAAAAAATCGTTTCCTACCGTCAGAAAATTGTAATGTTTATTAAAATGCAACTTTAAATAATCTAAAATGTTAAAAAATTACAAATTGCTTTCATTTGCACTGAAAAATTTTTAAATATTAAAATTTTGAATTGAAAATACGGACTATTAAAATTTTGAAGAAAATCTTCTCCTCTCTCGAAAATTTGTTTACAGTCGATTGTATAATGAGAGGGCAACAAAATTTCGTCAGATTTTTGAAATTCAAACATACAATAAGACATTTAGAGGAAGAGAATAATAAAAAGGTAAATATACGTTGAGTATAGAAAGAGCAAATCATGTTGATGAAAGTTAATGACAAAAAAAAATGTCATGAGCCCTCGGGAACAAGTTTATGCAACTCCTTTTGCGTTTCTTTATTTTCTTTTTTTCGCACCCTCGGAATTTAATAGAGGCGGAAGTTCTGGTAACAAAAGATGAGGCTACGGGTGGCCCAAATATTGGAATGTTTGCCCCCGGTATTGTTAGTATTCTGACACTCGACGTTTGTTCCCATTTAAAAAGTGTTTAGATCTAATGTATCTATTTTACCTTCCCTGCGCGCACACACATAGTGGACAGTGGCGATTCTGTTTTTCTGTTAGCTCATGTGATCTCGTGTTGCGTCCGATCTATGCAATCCATATATCAGCCAGTCAGCGCACTACGGGTGTTCTTCTTCGATTCTTCAATGATTTCTAAAGAATGAGATCCACAAAAAAGTCCAACGCGAAAAAGAGAGGTCCATATATGAAATCCAGGAGATTGTATAATAACGGGATTTGGAAGATCGTATCGGAATATCTATCAAAACATTTCGAGTCAGTATAAAAGATATTGCTCTTTTAAAAGCGTTCTCTAATATTGTTACATGTTTATATTTATTTAGGATATTTGACTTTTGTATAATGCATTGTTGGAAAACGAGATTCTGATGGAATCTTATTATATAATACAAAACAGTCGTTACTAAATTGTCTTTTAATACATACTTAGTTTTTTATACTTATTTATTATTTATATTTATTCAAAAGAATCGTTTTTATAAATTTTAACCTTCAACAAATATATAAAAGTCGAAAATAATTACCAATGTACATTGTTAAATCTAATAATAATTAGTTAAAAATAATTATTAAATTAGATGTACATATTTAACTGTATTGTATTGTGAAAACAGCCTAAACAGTTAAATACACTTTCGAAAAATTATTGTTGGACAAATTTTCAATCCTACCCAACTTTGCTTTGAACGAATATACATATTTTGGGCTGTTGCTTCCCATACCTGTTTACGCAAATATGTCAATCATGGAGGAATGTCAATTAAGATATTGTGTGACAGGAAATTATTAATTGTATTAATTGACTACACATAAAAATATTTATGAAGTGCAATGTTTAAATTTTGTTCATTTATAATTAAATTATTAAATTGTTGATGGTCATTCGAACCATAAAAATAATTAAAACTCAAAAATAGTTCGTTGTCGTGTATTATGTATAGATTATACAGCTCGATTATCCACCGAACTATAACCTATGTATGGGTGATTCTCCGCGTAGCGCACAAAACTTGCTTTTTTTCATGTGAAAGAAAAATCACAAATAATGTTCACATAATATTTCGATTCCAATGTAAAAAGGTAATTTCTGTGATTACAAACAAAAACCAATAGTTATTTTTGTATTTAACATTATAATTTTTCGTGAAAAGTAGTTTTTAAGGCTGAAAACGTCAAAATTTGACGTCACAAAATCGTCTCCACTGGCATCCACCGACCCTTCAATATTTAAAAAAAAATTGAATATAATTAAATAATAAAGGTTAAATAAAGTATAGTTATATTATTTTAGTCTATATATACCTGAAACATATGAAACCGATTAAAAATAAATGATAATTTTCTCAAAAAAAAAAAAAAAAAAAAAAATTATTAACGCCAGTTCCACCGACCCCAGCGTTTCCACCCGCCACAGAATTTCCACCGTCACTAGTGCAAGTTTAATACACAATGAAACAAACGAAATTAAAAATATTTATTATAAACTATTATAAGTTTACTATAACTTACCAAATAAATTTCTATAAATTATCGTATAAATTTCCATAAATTACCGCATAAATTTCCATAAATTACCGAAATAAAATTTTTAATTGTCGTTCGCGCTATATATATTTTTGTGAATTACCCCAAAAATTTCTATAAATTTCCGCGGAAATTGCCGTAAATTACCAAAATTAAAATTTTTAATTGTGATTCATGCTTTACATATTTTTATGAATTTTAGACAAAATTTCTATAACAGGGTGTCTACAAACCGGGAAAAACCGGGAAACGAAAAAAACCGGGAAATAGCCGGGAAATGAAAAATGTGAAAATGGAATGAATATTATTATTAATAAATTGATAAGATAATATTAAATATAAATTGTATTAAAGGAATAGAATTATAATAAATGAAAATGAAAATTATAAACAGAAGTAGGAAGACAAATATAAATAGAAGTTCAAATGTAAATAAATATATTAATTGCAAAAATAAATAAATATATTCTTCCTACATAGCTATATTTAAAGTTAAAATTTTTTAATCCCAAAAAATCTATATATTATTCAAAATTCAATATTTTCTAAAATACTTTATACTTTAAAAATAGCAAAAAAAAATGTCAAATTAAACAAAATTTCATGAAAGTCGCCCCTGCAAAAATAAATAAATATATTTTTCGTACGCAGCAAAATTTATTTTAATCAAAACGATTTGGGTGAATGTGTACATTTACCGGTTAAAGTAGCAAAACATCAATACTATAATATTTATTTTTCACTTTAACCAAAATGATTTGGTGAATGTGTACATTTACCGGTTAAAGTGCACAAAACAAAGAAATTCGTATGCTATTCTCACAATCACCTACCTACTGATGCCCAATTTGGTCAATGTGCACATTGACCGGTTAATGTGCACATTCACCAATTTCGCACTTTAACCGTAACATATATATATTAAAAGTATAAAATATATTTTTTAATGTTTTTAAAATTGTTTGAAGTTTATTTTTCATGATTATTATTAAATAATTAATAATTGATTAAAATTAAAGACAGTATCTACTTTATAATATAATGTAATAAGAAGAATCTTCAATTTCTTAAAACCGGGAAATACCCGGGAATTTGAAATGGGAAATTTTGTAGACACCCTGTATAAATTACCTCATAAATTTCCATAAATTACCTCGAAAATTTCCGTAAATTACCAAAAACAAAATTTTTAATTGTCGTTCGCGCTATACATATTTTTGTGAATTACTCCAAAAATTTCTATAAACATTTTAAATCAAATTTCAACTATTTTATAGAATTCAAAAAGCAAAGAATTTTTTTTTTAATTTGTTTAAAAAAATTAAAAAATTATAAAAAAATTTTCCGCACCATGGATATTTATTTCTTGACATTTTATCTTCAAAAATAAGTATTGATATTTATCATTTCGATAAAAAAATATTTTTAAAGTCACCCATATATATATATATATATAATTTAGGTTATGTTATCATCCAGACCATAATTAATAATAAAACAAAATATATTTCTGGATTAAATCTTGATTTATTTTTATTAATAAATCAAACGTTTCGACACCAACGTTGGTGTCCTCTTCAGTGATAAATAAAAGAAAGAATATAATTTTATTATAATAATATATAATACTATTACAATCTTATTATAATGATGATACTCATTTAAAATTCACTATAACAAAAAAACCACAAACTTTTTTTTTAAAAATAACTATTTTCTTACTTTTTTTTTTGATCCATTGAAATTTAAACGGAGAGCTCCTTTAGTAGGATTTTACAGGTCGATTTTGCTGATCCACAAATATATACATAGATGAAGGATGCATGTAATCTTATGGTATAAGCGATCGTTTAGCTTGAGCCTTGTTGTCAAAGTAAGTTGCACTAACTGGTATTATAAGGTAGCACGATGTGGGGGAAACGAGAAATACGAGGGATAAAAGGGGCTGACTCAAAAAGAGAGAAAAGTCAGGGGGGATGCTGTCATATATATCTGTTGGACAGTAGGGGGGTGTCAGCAAGCTCGAACGAATGTCTCAGCAGGGTTCATACCCTTGCTACTGTAGCTAAAGTGTGTATGTGTGTGTGAGAGAGAGAGTACACATTCGATTCTTTAATTTCAGCATACAAAAGAAAAAAAGATTTAAAAATATATAATCATCTTTGAAAATTCCAAATTCCTTAGAAGTTAAAATCGTCTTGATCCAAATTTAGACTATTTAATTAGCATTGTTGTATATAGTGGAAAACAATTATTTGAATATCAAACAATAAATTATATAAAAATAAGGGGCCATCCATAAAGCATGTGATTTACTGCTTCAAATAAGGCTTGAAACGTAAATTATTCGACGTAATATACGTAATTTTCTACATATGTATGTATTACCCATTAATTTAAGGTCAACGCAGAAACAGAATAGCTTCGCGAAAGTCGTGCCTGAACGTTCTTCATGAGATAGAAAAGGACAATTATATATCTCTGTCCTTTTCTAGCACATGCATCTCGTTGGCGAACGACTTTCGCGATTATATTGTGCTTTTAAGGTTGTTCCACAACAACTTGCTTAAGGTTGGTTGGTTTCTATTGTCCCCACTCGTCATTTGTCATATTTCTCTTCAACTACCGCACCCTGCTCTAATAAAAATTTAGTAACTTTAAATTTTAACAATAAAGTCACTAAATTTTCACTAGATCAGCGTGCGATAGTTAACGAGAATTATGCCAAATGGCGAGTGGGGACAATGGAATCCAACCGAGCGATGAATTTTCACGGCTGAATCACTGAATTTGACTGGATCTTACAAAATATTCCATTTCCACAGTGTAAAAATTGAATATTGTTAGAGCCATAATCAAATTCTGTTATTCTCCGTAAAAAGGTATAAAATCACCTATACTAAAGTACCTTTCTATATAATTTATACGTCTGTTACAAACATAACCTATAAATGTCACTTGCGTGTTGTTGTAAAAATATAATTTAAACATCTTTTAACTATCCAGGAAGAAAAGATTAATAAGTTTATGTTTTCGGGAATCGGAGTTTTTTAGAATACGGATTGATAATTGACATTTTATATCCTTTCAAGTAAAATGTTTTTTTTTATTTTTTAGTACGCACGTGAAATAAATTTTTTTTTGATAATTGGCTATTCTGCCGTGTTTTCTAAAAACTTAGGTAACTGCAGAATGAAAGATTTCGAGAAAAACGCGAAAAACTGTTTAAACTTCATTGATATGTACCGCAAAGCCTAATTAAAATTTTTAAATGCCGTTTTGCTCCTTCGATTCGTCTAAATTTATTCTTTTTAATTATGTAAAAATAAATGTTGTATTTGTTTAAACATTCAATAAATTATTAAAAATGTAGTTACCGGTATGCTGATTCGAGGGTCGTCGCACGAGAAACTTAGGTAACTGGTAGTTACTTGGTCCCTCGTGCTACGAGCGCCCGTATTAGGCCTCTCGTCGCACAGAAAACTTAGGTAACTGCAGGGAATATATAAGAATTTTCATCTTTCTGGGCAAAAAATAGTAAAAATATATTAAATAATAAACTATAATTATTTAATAAGCTGCGAAAGTTGTCACTATAATTATTGTTTTTTACAAATATTTAATTTTATGGTTAAATTTATTTTAATTATACAATATTAGAGTCAAATATTGTATTAACTCAGAATATATTAAATAATAATATAAAATAAAATACATAAATAAAATTAAAAAAATAAATTAAATTAAATTAAAAAATAGTAAAAATATATTAAATAATTATATGAAATAAAATAAAAATAAATAAAAAAAAATAATAAATAATAAAGTGTAATTATTTAATAAGATGCGAAAGTTATCATTATAATTATTGTTTTTTACAAATATTAAACTATATGATTGAATTTATTTTAATTATACATTATTAAAGTCAAATTATTGTAGGTAATGTAGTTCGCTGCTTTATTAACGTTTATTTAAATAATTAAAAACGATTTTAATTTTTTAAATAATTGAACTAAATTAATTATATATTAATCATGAAATAAACATATTACTGAACTTCATTTTCTTAATTTATTAATGCTTTTATGTTATTTATTAAAATTAATACTTAATTTTTCAATAATTGATAAATTATTATTTAGGTATAATTATATATATATAGTGTTGGAGTTTTTTATTTCATTATTTATTGTCATTATAAATTATTAATTGCACAAAAAACATTGTAATTTTAAAGAAATGTATAAGATTTTGCAGTTACTTGGTCCTTCAAAACACGAACCTCCTTTTTCGAGGCCTCGTCGCATAGAAAACTTAGGTAACTACAGTGCTCTGATAGCACTCTGTAGTTACCTAAGTTTTCCATGCGACGAGGGCTCGAAAAATGAGGTCCGTGTTTTGAGAAACTTAGGCACTGGTGCAGTTACCTAAGTTCTTCAAATCACGACCTACAAAATACGTCACAACACCCAAAGACACCCAAGTTTTTATAGCAGTTACCTAAGTTTCTCAAATTATCACTCATCAATTTTTGCAGTTACCGGTATTTTCAATTATTTATGCAAAAATTATTATTAATAATATTAACAATTTTTAAAAATAATTTGCATTAACAGGTGTATCTTTTTTCCACGATTCCAACGATATAAAAAACTCATTTTTCGATTTTTTTGCAGTTACCTAAGTTTTTAGAAAACACGGCAGTATTGATGTGTAACATAGTCTCGTCTCTCGTTCTAAAAAATCGTTTTTAAGACGATACGATTTAACTATTGTGGAAGCAGCCTAATAGAATTTTGTACGTTCTCAACCCTGGTAGGAGAACTAACAGCCGCAGAATAGTTTCACATAATACACGTTTCATATTTACAGAATTTTACTCGCACCTGTCAAAATATTGTTGACGACATATTTCAGCTGTTTGTATTATTTACTAAAAATGTGATTGTTTATTACTGAAGACTTTGAAAACTGCTATTTGGGTCTATTCTATTATTCAAAATTCAGATTCTACTGTCGATGAGTTTTCAAACAAACATTTACATAATGTAACAACACAGGAAAGTAGTAGCATATTTATTTCACGTTTAATTATAATTTTTCATATTTTGAGAAATTTTTTTCTAAATATATCGCTACGTATCACACAATTGTGACACGATCATTTTTTACATTTTTATATAAATAAATTTTTTTTACAAAAATGCATTTTACCAATAAAAAGGGTGCGTTTGAAAAGAAACGTTTTTTCACCTTGATTACTTCACGTGAAATCCCTCATATTGTATATATATATATATGTGTATATTATATAGAAGAAAATATAGGCTGATGTATGGAAATTACATTTTGGGGGAATAAATTTCAGCGTAAAGTTCTTATTACAAGATAAACTTGTGCTTTTTGACCTTGCCTCTTTGAAAATGACTCCATGAAGCTAACCCCAAAATCAACCATGACATTCATATGCAACCGCGATCTCCCCTCAAGATGATAGCGAAAAAACGAATAGGCTTGTGGTAACCAACCGTTCAGCGCTATATACAGAGGGTTGTGTGCCAACCCCAGTATGTCGCATAATTGAAGAAGGGCGATATTTTTCAACCCCTCTTTCTCTATCGAATAATATTATACCAAGGGTTAGCTGGTGACGCCATCTTAGATTAAATCGACAGGAAAATGGTGGTGGTCAGAACACGTTCTGCCATTGCTGATTATGCGATCTAATTTTTATCATATACCTATCCTTCTCTATTTCATTATATCTTTGTCAGATATCTCAACTTTGTCACATTATTATGTAAGCCGATAATCAAAAAAAAAGTTTTTCTTCCTTTATTTGTCATAAAAAGTTTTATAACCTATTAATTGCATATGCACAACGAAGCAAAATACCAGTGTTACTTTTAAAGTGTAATGCGTTACTTTTAACGTCGTTACTGTTACTTACATTGTAAAAAATCTCTTTGGAGATAAAATTTGTAAAATTACTATATTCAATAAGGTTATGTTACTACATTAAAAAAAGCAAATATACAGAAAATTGTAAAAGTGCTTTTTTTAATGTAGTAACATAACCTTATTGAATATAGTAATTTTACAAATTTTAACACAAATACAAATTGTGAATGTACAATCTCCAAAAAGATTTTTTACAGTGTATTTTAAATAACGGTAACGCGTTATTATTTTGAAAAAAGTAACGGTAACGAGTTACTTTTTATGGGTAATTTATAACGAAAAATTGTTACTTTGTAATTTACATGTGATGTTTAACTAATCAATGCTTATTTGGCTTAACCCTCGGAGCACATACTGGGTCACACAGACCCTGTCATTAATTTCAATGAAGTGTAATTTGAAAAGTCGGCAATACAACACGAACCTAAGGCCATATAGTGGTAACTAACTAATAAGGAATAATAAGTAACATGATAATCCAAAGAAAATAATAAAATACTAGTAAATATGTTATTAAAAAAGTATAGTTTTAAAAAGTTGTGTCGAAAATCACATTTTTATCGTCTTAAAAGTTACCTTCGTTAAACTACAAAATAAATACCTTTTTTAAAAAATGAAAGAAGGTGGTATTTTTTCCCTTATTCTAACACACTTCGAGAATATAAATCCCAATTTTTAGCTTAAAATATTAAAAATTACAAAAGTTACATTTTTTTTTAAATTCAATTTTTTCTTTTTAATTAGTTAACTTCACGAATTTTTTTTCAATATGCAAATAATTTAATAATATTTCTAAACTGCATATTCTTATTTTACAAGGTTCAATGAATAAAAAAATATTTTTTTTGTGTTAATCAGTCCAATAGTTCAAAAATGGGGGAGTTTTGTAAAGTAAACAGGGTCACAGCGACAAAAAAACCTCAAAAACCTGTAAAAATTAAAAAAATTGTTTTTAACGCAAACAAAATATAATAAATATTAATTTCAAACAATTTTAGAAGATCTGGATTTAATCCTTTCGAAAAAAATTATTTTTTTCCAAAATATTTTGACAATAATTATTTTTTTAACATTTAGTTTTTTTTTCTTTTAAATCAGACAAAAATTGCAATTTTTAACCAATTTTTATAAACAAAAGCTCATTTTACTCAGTGAAATATTCTCTACAATTGTTACCTTTTTTATATTATAATAAGTGTATTCTTAAAAAGTTATAAACAATTAAAATTTTATTTATTAAATAACTTTTTAAGAACATACTTATTATAATATAAAAAAGGTAACAATTGTAGAGAATGTTTCACTGAGTAAAATGAGCTTTTGTTTATATAAATTGGTTAAAAATTGCAATTTTTGTCTGATTTAAAAGAAAAAAAAACTAAATGTTAAAAAAATAATTATTGACAAAATATTTTGGAAAAAAATAATTTTTTTCGAAATGACTAAATCTATAGATCTTCTAAAATTGTTTGAAATTAATATTTATTATATTCTTGTTTGCGTTAAAAACAATTTTCTCGTTATTTTTGTAATATAATTTCGTATGTTTGTTGCATTGAAAAGTTATCACAACTATTATAAAAAAATTTGGAAAAAGAACGACGTTACTTTTTTTTTAATAACGAAAGTAACAGCGTTACTGTCAAAAAAGTATAAAGGTAATGAGTCACTTTTATGAAAAAGTAACGGTAACGAATTACTTTTTAGAAAAAGTAACGGTAACGCGTTAATATTTTTTAGTAACGGGCAATCACTGCAAAACACGTACGTTACACAGAAAATTAAAAGGCATTAAAATAATAAGCGTTGCAGCTTATTTTAATACCTTATAATTTTCTGTGTAAGTTTTAATAGCAACTAAATTATTTAATATATTAAAATATATGGAAAACATCAAATTTTTAAAAGGTTTAAAAAATATTATAAGCTTAATAAAATTTTACAATTTTTCAAAGAACAAAAATTTTAAATAATAACATTATTTACTTTAAGAAGACAGTTTAGTAATAAGACGATAAAAATAAATTCTTTTAAAATTTTTATATTTCTCGAAAATTATTATAGTTAATCATACAATAAATTATTATAAATTATTATTATATTATATTATTATATTATCAAAATTATAGATATATCTATAATTTTGAAGGTAGAAATTCGTATTTTCTAAAATATAATTTTCTACCTTTAGAAAAAAAAATAAATAAATTTTTGTATGATTAACTATCATATAGTTTTTGAAAAATACAAATTTTAAAAAATCTATTTCTACCAATTTATTTTTTAAATATAAATTCCTATACCTACCTTTAAAATAAAAAAAAAATTGTATGATTAACTTTGCTTTTCTCCCCGACAGAAGATTTTGAAAAAAGTCACTTTTTAGACTTAGTTTTAATCTTTTCAATGCTTCCATTGTAGTTACGTTATTTTTTAATACATATTTAAAATATTAAAGTAAAATCGGACAAATTTTATGTATATATAATATTATTTATCTGTTAGTATGACAGAGAAAAAGGAATTTTAAATGTACTCGGCTTCTAATAACGATCAATTTTAAAAAATAACTTCCATAATTTTTATCAAATCAAAAAATAAAAAATTCTAATTTTTCATTAAAAAAAAATTTCTACAAAAATGTTCCAGTAAAAAAAAATTTTTTTGATTGAAAATCATACGATTGCTCCATATAGAGTATATAGAAAGGGGATGTTGGAAACATTAAATAAAATTTCTGCTCATAAATGCTCATAAAATATTTTTATTTTAAAATATATAACTCTTTGTCTTCATATAATCTGTTTTACAATATATATTTATATATTTACATAAGTCTCTTTTCAATTAGATATATACAATATGTACAAGTTTTTTTTTTAATACAAAATGTCAGATATAAACCTACACCTTTATAACATATTCTGGCTTTCAATTTATCAAGTTTTTGAAAATACAATATATCAAAAATATTTTTCCGCTTTTTTTTCCAAGAAAGTTTATATAATCTCAAGATTTTATATTTAAAAGGCATTTTATATCAAAACTGTTTTATAAATTTATTATATACAAATAGTTTATATATATATTTTTTTTTGTTTTTAAATCGTTTTTTAAAAATTTCTTTATCAAATCCAATTTTTATTTATATAGATATTAGAGTGGATAATGAAAAGCTGTTGGAATAGAATGTCCTATTGCGAATGATCCAAATGGAACCACTGGTACATGATATGGACCTCTGTTGTCGTGTGTTCTTGTATGTTTTTTTAAATGATCTTTTCGGCCAAAACGTTTTCCACAAACAATACAAGAGTGTGGTCGTAAACCAGTGTGAATTCGTTTATGCCTTGTTAGTTCTTCATTTCGAGTGAAGGATTTTCCACAGCCTTCAGCGTCACACTTAAATGGTCTTTCACCTTTAATAGAAATTAAAAAAAAATTTTCATTAGAAATTTATATAAATTTAGAAAAAATTTACTTAGAAATGTATATAATTGAAAAAAAAGTTAGAATTGCTTTTGTAAGTAAATTTTTATATCGAGTTTCACAGAAAATTAAAAGGCATTAAAATAAGCTGCAACGCAAATTATTTTAATCCAATTTTGCTTATTTTAATCCAATTTGGTAATAAAATAAGCAAACTTGGATTAAAATAATAAGCGTTGCAGCTTATTTTAATACCTTATAATTTTCTATGTTAAGGTGTATAAAAAAATCATTAGCAAATTTATCAGCACTGAAAAATGGATTGAATCTTGCAAAATCAGAAAAAGAATATAGAAACTAACCGGTATGAATTCGAACGTGTCCTTTAAGTTGTCCATTATTGCTGAATGCAACATTACAATGTTCGCATCTAAATTTTTTAGGTCTTAGTTTCTTCATTTGTTTTGCGGCAACATCCTGTTCATGAATGTATTTGACTGCTTCTTCGACACTTGCATAAGTATCAGGTGAAAAGGCCGTTAATCCATAATGTAAATTATGTGAATGATAAACATCAAATGGATTTGGACATCCTTCAATTGGTAGTAATCCAGATTTAAAATGTGTTAAATAATTCGAAGGCGAATATATTGGACACGAATTATAATAATTATTTGAATATGAATGTGAGATATTATTATCTTTACACGATTCCATTGAGAGATTACTTGCTGTTGAGCCAGAATGATGTTCAGGATGTGCATTAAAAACAAAATTACTGAGCATATTTAGACTACTTGTTTCCGATAAATCTTCACTATTTACTGAACATGATCTTGATGATGAACTAATCCTTGATTCATCACGTTCAGATTGATTACAAACACTGTCATTTGAAATGACACTTTCAGCATCTTCTTCTGGTTCGCACTTCACTTCTTGGGCTATTGACCCTTTAATTAATGTTGACGACACTTTTTCTGCATTCGTAACATCTCCATTCCAGGGTCTAAAGAATCTTGTGCTTTTAGAATCACACATGGTTTGAAAATTTTTTTTTTTGTAAAATCCGTAAATCGTAAGAAAAATATTTGACTGATCGTAATACACACGATGTAACTTGGACGAGATTTTAGTCGAAACTATTCGCTAGAAAAGTTGAGTGTGGATTATATAGTCAGGAGTAGGAAAATAGGGGATGACCCCACCCTCTTGCTGGGATTGGGGCGTTTCAAAAACAGCCTTGCACACCACCGGGGGCTAAGGTAGGTTTTGGTAGGCCTGGAAAGGGCGCTACCGAAGGAGAGGGCCCTTTTGTTGAGAATTAATCTGCGGCCACGCGATTTGGTCCTTTGTCACGTGAAGGGATGATACCGTGACTCAAAAGACTCTTCTATATATACATATACATGCAGGACCAGAAAAGACCTCCCCATCTGTTCGATGACTCTTATTTGCCCCCTTCATGCGCACATGAGGCGCTATCCGTTCAATTTATTTATCAAATTCGTCTTCTGGCAAATTTAGAGGCTTGGGAATTATTCCTTTCATATATGTTCGCAATTATAAATTTTAAATTCAAAATTTACTTCTAAACTTGCTAAAATGCAAAATAGTTAAAAATTAATTTTTTTTACATTATTTTTTGCATATAATAAAATGGGACAGAAAAGAAGTTTCATTATTCAGATATTTCTGTTTTTTTACTGCTTTTGATTTTATAGATCATATTACAATTATGATGCCAGTACACTAAAATAAATTATTTGATTCAAATAATCGGTTACTTGACTCTTATCAAATAAATATTTACTTGAACCAAATAATTTTTATTTGAATTAAATAAACTGTATTAATAAAACATTCATACTGTGGGGTAGGTTTACTGAAAAAAGGGTTTGGTATTAACAACCAAACGTTTGGTTGGTATTTAAAAATTTTTTTATTGAATCAACAAAATTTTGGTTGTCCCAATCAAATTTATGTTAGGACAACAAAAATCCTTTTTTTTCTGATTTTGGTTTTGTCAAATAAATTTTGATTGAGACAATTAAAATTTTGTTAATTCAACAAAAAAATTTTGGTTGCTTAAATACCAACCAAACGTTTAGTTGTAAATACCAAACCCTTTTTTCAGTGTTGTATAACATTTTTTTTTATTCTTGCTATTATGGCTCTGCTAAATTGCATTTTTTTTATAATTTCGACAAAAAATATTATCAAATTTACTTAAACAGTAGGAATTATAAATATTTTGTTTAAAAAATTATTTATTGTCTTATCCCTCGACATTTTCATAAATTAAAAATTTTATATTTCTTATTGTTTTGATTAGGTATAAAAAGTTGTAACAAGTGTTACAACTTACCCCAAACACGGGGCAGGTAGTAACTGCTGAGTTTTTTTTAAGGAAATGCTTTTTTGTGAGAAAACGCGGAACTTTTTAATGTTTATTTTAATTTAATTTACAGCAGAAAATATTGATTAAAAATAGAAATAAATTGAGATTATAAAAAAAATTTTTAATTTCAAAATTTATAAAATATATACAATATGAAAGTTCAAACCAACCCCTTAAAAAATATGATTAAAAATTGTTATTCAAAAGTTTTTAAGAAAAAATGAGCTAGACATGCGTACAGAGTCAAATCAAAAGTTATAATACTTCAACTCCATAACTCCAGTCTTGATTTTAAAACAAAATGGGATTTATAATTAAAGTTTTGTAGTTGGTGTGAATAATTTTATTTTTTATCCTTTTAAATTAAACAGGACCACAAAAAATCGAACTTTTTCCAAGGCAAACCGAAATATATAATTTTCTAACGTATTTTGATGCGCTGAATACGAATCTGATGTCCGATTTTCTCTATCATATATCAGGATATTTTTTTCTAACCTCAAAAAACATATCTAATCAAACACTCAAAATTCTTGTGGGCTTTGGTTCTAGGGATTTTTGGGGTCACTGATTACGAATCTGATTTCAGATTTTCAAAATTCAAAATGGCGGCAAGTTTTTTAAAAAAAATGTTGGGTTTTCATGCAAATCAGTATGAAAATCTCAAAAATTTCAGATTCGTAATCAGTAATTTCAAAAAAACCCCTAGAACTCAAGCCAAACAAAATTTTGAGTTACTTGTTTGATTAGACATGTTTTTTGAGGTTAGAAAAAAATCCTGACTTGATGATGGAGCAAAATCAGACATCAAATTAGTCTATCCAATTCCTCTTCAAAATTACACATTTCTTATATTATATAGTTATTGCAACAAAATTATAAATTTTTCTCAAAAATGAATGAGTTTAAGTATATAATTTTAACTTGAATTTAATTATTATTTCTCCATCGAATTGGATATAATATCGGAAATATAATTTTTCCACGAAAAATTGGATTAAATTATAAATAAATATATAGTTGCATTATATTCATAGCGAAACGAATCCGTGTTAAGTGAACGAGAACGATAGGTTATATATGGGGGTGGAGTTTGAAATCTATAGTGTTGATTTATTGTAACACTTGGACTGAAGTTACCCTCTGCTTGTGAATGGTCCACCCTCTCTTTCTCCTTTTTCTTCCCTTCTTCAGTGTAACCTATATGATCCCTACTCCACCCTGTCTAAACGCGGCTTTTATACAGAAATGCCATGCACTCGAAAATCTATTCATACAAAATAGTCTTTGTATTATGATATTGCCAATGAAACAATATATATACAGCCATGACAAATATTTCGACTAGAATAATAATAAATAAATAAATAAATAACATTTTTGTAAAATTTTAATTTAAAATATCAAACATTTTTTTATACGTTCAGGGTATAATCAAGAAACTATTTAAATTAGTAGAATTTTTACTTTTTTAATCAGTACTTTAATATTATACTACTATAACGAATTAGTATAGATTTAAAAATTTTAAGATTTTTTAATATCATTTATTTTTAAATAAATAAAAAGAAAATAATTTTAATAATTATTTATGTATTTATAGAACAATAAATTCTGATGAGGCGATATACTGGCTTTGAAACGTTAACGATGTTTTTTTGATATTATTCTTTTCTGTTCTAAAATTTGCCAAGATTCATTATAATTATAGATTTATCAACTTGAAATAAACTCTCTACATCAGATGTAGAAAATATTAGTGAAATGATTATCCAAAAAAATACTCTTTTAGTGTGTATTGTTTTCACTAATTCAATTAGTGAGATAGTCACGTGACCCGAAGGTAGCGCTCCTAGTGTTTAATTTCGGTAATACAAAACATCTTAATGTCCGTCAAATATTTTTATTTTATGGAATTTCAATAGATAAAATTTTTTTTTAATCGAATTTTTATTTGTTCGCTTTATTTTTTGACAGAATTTCCATTTAACCGATTTTTAATATTACAGAAGTTTTACTTAAGCGAAAATTTATTTAACAGAATTTACACTGAAAAAAAATTTATTTAATTCAAATAATCGGTTACTTGACTATTATCAAATAAATAGTTATTTAAATTAAATAATAATAATAATAATAATAATAGCCAAGTAAGCAACTATTTGAATCAAATAAATTTTTTTCAATATATTTATTTAATCGAATTCTGTAAAAAAATAATTCGATCAAAGAAAAATTTGGCTAAATGAAAATTATGTCTATAATGAAATTATATTAAATACAAATTTTAACAAATTAATTTTAGGCGTTAATGATTCGTCTTCTATAATATCTAAAAATATATATTTGACTCAGATCCAAACAAATATTTATTTGTTGCAAATAATTATTTATTTGGCATAAATAGAAATTTTATTTATGACAAATAAAATTTTTATTTATGCCAAAGAAATGGGTTAGTTGGCTCTGAGAGAAATATACGTTTATTTGACTCAAATATATATTGCATTTATGGTTCAAATAAAACATTTCTCTGATGGGTGTATATAATCTATAAAAATATTTCTAACGCATCTCTGAAAATTTTACTCTCAACTTTTTGTTATAAAAATTGATTCAAAATGATTGTCATCAGTTCAATATAAGTTTTAAACAAATGAAAATTACTTATTATGAATTTAATATTTAATATTGACTTTAGTTCATAATAGTAAGTAACTTTTTTTGAAAAAGTATATATATATCCAAAATATAAATATATAAGTATATATGTATAGAGACCGAATGGACCACCTGTCTGTCCTTATATACAGTATATTGTTAGAGACGTTAAAAAGTTGACAGATCTGAGTTCTCTTGTCGTTTAGTTTTTGTCCATTCTGTCGACTTGAATGACGAATTGCTACCACATATGAATAACGCAATTTTATAGAAGCATGTCTTCAATTCGAATTCTTCATCTTTTTTAATATCATTCAAAGAGACCTAATTTGTTCAAGGCATTTTTTGCGTAAAATTCATGTTTTTGGAAGACCTTTGTGAAACGTGGGCTGTCTTGACAGGTCAGGTGAATGATTGCATTTGATCGATTTGTATTCATATTATATATATATAGTATTCTGAATAGATAATCGATTAGTGGTAAATAAAAAAATATATTTGGGGATTCGACTTGTTCCTGCGGACATATTTTTATACCGCGAGATGTCATATTCTATAAATGATTAGGTTTTTCAAAATTATATACACAATAATACTTATTTACTTTATTATGTATATAAATATTTAAATTACTCACGCGTCAGTCGTTTTAGTATAAAAATTTTAAATACATTATTTCAATATCCAACAAGTGGTTTAATAATAATAATAACATTAATATAAGTAATATTTTAGTTTTTGTTAAATTAATTTCTTCTTTTTACATTTTTATTTATAAACTAGCGATGTATTCCTCGCTCGCTCGGTTATAGTTGTACTTATTATTACTCATATATATTATTAATGTTGTATAAAATTTATCTTAATTTTGATCAGTATCATTGAAGGATGAAATGACAATTGTTAAATATTAAATGTTTTAATTTATTATAATTATAACAACAATATTAATTATATTATATTATATTATATAATAATATATTTTTTTATCTTATACTATATTATATTATATTATATTATAATTATAATTATATTGCTTAAAATAGCCCCACAAACACATGGAGATTTTGCAAATTTTTTAGAAAAATGTTCATAATAAATCAAAAAACCTTTTAAAATATCGGTTTTTATTTTTATTA